AGCCCTGGGTTGAGAGGAATCTCCCTCTCAGCAAACCTGGACAGTGATGTGAGGAAAGAAAAGGCATTTCAGACTCCTCTTGTCTTCTTCTTGCCCTGAACATCAGGGCAAAGAACCTGGAAATTATCTCCAGTTTCCACTGCTCTGCCCACCTCCTCACCTATTCTCAACACCACAGAAACCAGATCTGACTTCCAACGAATTTCCACTGGGGGATGGTTTGGAATCCTTGTCACTCTCTTTCCCTGCCCTCTCTCATTGACTTCATACTGCTCTAAGCTAGGAGGAAGGTTCTTGAAGAGTCAGAGCCATCGCTTCCAATCTCAGGTCACCAAATGACTGTAAGGGCCCCTGCTGGAGTCACACAGGATCCCTCGCTCTAGTGCAAGACAAGGACCACATTGTGCAGCCCTGGCTGCTCTGAACGCTTGTTATTGATCTTCACAAATGAGGAAGGAGGCAGATGGAGAGACACGGAAGAGTCTGGGAGCTGGAAAGACATGGAAGAGTCTGGGGGCTGGAGGGACACGAAAGAGTCTGGGGGCAGCAGCTTCAGGTTCTCACTGGAGGGAGTTGATGTAAGGTGTGGAGCAAATCCCTGGAGATGAGGTAGCGACTAAGACAGCCAAGACCCTCCCCTGCCCTCCTCAGCAAAGGGGAGGAAATTGAGATGCATAAGGGAAGACAAAACTCACACGTGACAGGATGCAGGCAGGGGCAGGGGCAGGGGCAGGGGGCCCTGGAGGAGCCTGCTCTTGCAGGAAGCATTGTGGAATCAGGAAACCTGCAGGTCATAAAAAAGACTGTTCTGGGAAGAGCAGGGCCAAGGGGTGGAGGAAAGGCACCAGGGGCTCCAGAACGACTAAAACAGGTGGCAAGTGTAGCCAGAAGAAAACAAGGCAGAGGTCATAACGAATGAATGGACAACCCTGTGGGCTCAGGTGAAGGGGCTGGATTTGACTCCAGGTGCTTTTGCAAAGCTGTTAGAGGGCTTCTCAAAGCTTCTTCCTGCTGCTGTGTGGACAGTTGACTTCAGTGGGGGCAGGAGAGGCCCCAGGAGGACCAGGAGGGGCTGACTGGGGTCCATTTGAGAGTGACCATGAGAGAAGCTGATGTGCTCAAGACCAAGTGGAGCTGGGGAGGGCAGAAGGAAGCACAGAGCACCCAGGACTTCTGGGACCAATTTCTGGGCCTGCCAGGGATGAAGAGATGCTGGGTTCTCAAGTAGATTGGAAAAGGATGTCCAATCTCTCTTTGCAAACTAGGAACGCAAAATGGGCTATGGCTCCATGGGACGCCCTGGGAACCTTACATATCTCCACATAGACCGATTAGGTAAGACCCTTACGGCTCAGTTTGTGTTGGCCCAGTGATCTGCAATGCCCCTTGGAGGGAGAGGAGAGATGCTAGGTAAGGCACCACTATAAGGCCTAGTGTCCAACTTCATAGTTTCAGTGATGGAAGACCTTTCTAATACATATACATCCATCACCACCACCATCCTCACAGCCCCAGCACCATCATCACCATCACAATCACCATCACAACCACAACCACAGCCACTGTTACCACCACCATCCCATAATCCATAACCGTCATCATCACAGCCATCATCACCTCCATCCCCACTTAAGGTTTTGCTTCAAGCTGTAAAATCACCTGGCTATAATTTGGAAGCAGCTCTTTAGTGTCTAGTTAGCTCTCTGCCTACGCTATGGCCAGGTCCCTCAATTTGTGTCACTGAGTGGGGTTGGGGCCTTGGGAGCTCACATCGTGCTTGTCTCACTGTAGCCAGCATTTGCGACTTTGTGGGTTCCTTACTCTCCTCTACCCTTCTCCACCCTTTAGACCCCCATAACAAGGAGAGAGAGAGAGAGAGAGAGAGAGAGAGAGAAGATGGAGTAGAAAGGGGATAAAGTTATCATTAGACTTTTTCCTGGTGATTAGAAAGATAGAGTTCCTTGGGACAAGATTGATCTTCACTGACAGGCTATCTAATTTATTCTTTTTGTTTCTTTGTGCATGACTACTTGACAAACTGCAACCAACAGCAGCCAACCACCAACCAGCCACCAACAGCCACCCTGCCTCTCGGGGGCCCCAGCATTTATATATCCTCTGAGAAGTTCCCGGAACTCCGAACGTCACGCACTCACAGAAACTATCTGCAGCTGGTGGAACCACACCCCTGCTAGAGTGCCCCTGCTAAATCAAAGTCACCTGCTGTGAAGCAGCCTCTATCCCCACACCTGGAATTAAGACACAAACACATTCCTATAACATTTCATTACAAAGTTCTCACTACAACCTCACTTTTGCTATCTGTGTGAAAAACAAACTGAATCCACGTGGGGCCAATGTTTCTCTGCTGGCCGGGTTCATGGAGATGCGCCAAGTCTTTCAGACACAATAATAGTGTTGGCCATCGTCCTGTCGTTCAGGCACTGTCTTAGTGTTCTGTTGCTGCGAAGAGACACCATGACCACAACAACTCTTAGAAAGAAAAGCATTTAATTGCGGTTTGCCCACACTTTCAGAGGCTTACTCCATTATCAGCACGGTGGGAAGCATGCTGGCATGCAGGCCTGGTGTGAATAAAGGAGCTGGGGGTTTCTACATCAGGACGCACAGGCAGCAAGAAAAGACAGGGCCTGGTTTGGGCTACTGAGAACCTGAAAGCCCACCTCCAGTGACACATTTCCTCCAGCAAGGCCACACCCACTAACCTTTAAAATAGTGCCACTCCCTGGAGTGGCATTCAAATCCGTGAGCCTGGGGAGGAGGAATTTCCTTATTCAAACCATGATAGCACTGAGCTTGACAAACTGAAACCACTGAAATTATGCCTTTTTGGAGAAAAGATAGATGAGGCCACACAGCCTGCAGAGTTGGCAGCTATGAGAGGAGGGAAGCAGGGTCCTCCCCCATGCCACCTGGGGAGGAGTGTTTGCAGTCTGCACAGCAAAGCAGAAGTGGAGCTGGCCACCTGAGCGCCACCCCTCCTGAAAGCGAGCGTCCCTGGGCTTGAAGGGATCTTCCCTGAAAGCTGCCAAGGGCTGAGCAGGCAGAAGCAGCATCCAGGCTGGAGGAGACGGTTGCTCTTCCCCTTGGCACTTGGATTGGCGTGGTTCCAAGCAGCAGCCAGCTCTTTACGACAAGGAGTGCTCCCGATGGGGAGCACAGTGACATGGTGAGGACAGTGACTGCCGGGATGAGTTGGTAACTGGAAGGGCACCTTGCTCCCCTAACCCCACCACAGAGTGGCAGGAAAGCATCTCTTTCCTGACTCCAGGGGAACTGGATACAGTACAGCGTGGGACTGGGAGCACTAAAGAGCTGGTGGGGGCAGACGTGCTCAAGGAGGCTGGTCGAGAGGCTGCAGTGACACCTAACGTCTCCTGCAGTGGTCAGTGGTTGGCATCCCCCAAAGGCAGCCGGCAGCATCCAGCAAAGGTGCTCCCCTGTGTTTGGAGTGCAGGGACTGACTGACCAATGTTGCTTAGGAGTCCTGACTTGGGGGACACTGAGCACAAGAGGCCACCGAGAGCTCAGCTTTCTGAATATTGGGGAGTCTGAAGGGGAGAAACCAATAAGGTAGGCCGTGCCCAGCAAAAATGGAGCTAACCAGGCACCAGTAAGGTCACACACACACATACACACACACACACACACACACACACACACACACACACTCCTGTAGCTGAGGAAGTCTGGGCCTGACTTACGGATGAGCTAATTAACAGGTCTATCAGGACTGTAGTCACACACCAAAACTACAGAGAAAAACAAAATCTGCCTTGAGTAGAGGTGCAGTTGGCAATGCTTGCCCTGGAAAGGATCCCTCCAGACACCACGCACCACGCTCACTCTCACCAAGGGACGGCCGGCAGTCAATGGGTTGGCACCTGTCAACGGAAGCCAGATGATCCAGGCCCAAACTAGGCAAAGACAAACATTATGGCAGTGGATGGCCCATTCATGCCACACAGGGATACTATGGAAAAAGAGCCTTTGGCAGTGAGTGTCAGTGGAAGCATCAAGAGGCATGCCCAGGTAAAGACCATAGCCGCCTGAATACTCTGCACACATGAATGGCGATTTTTTGGTGTACAAGACTGGGCTAAAATCCAGTACATGAAGCCCAGGCAAATGAGTCCAAATACCAGATTCACAATTTAGTGACAAAGGGACACTCGATGCATAGCCCAACTCTACCCAGTCCTGGCAAACAGACTGTGGACCCTTTGACCTTCCTGGAGTGCCCCTGGCCGTGGCACAAAATACAAAATTCGTTCCTAGGAATGACACACTTCCCACCTGCAGAGTGAAAGTAAGTGCCACAGTCCCAATACTACTGCTTCTGAGCAGGGGTCTTCCCCTCCCGTAGCTAAGAGTCCATCAGTGGACAGCTATCTGGGGACCTGACAGCGAGCGTTACGTGCTCCCAGTCACCCACAGGCAGGAGATGCTGTGAAGACATGAATCGGGGTGTGGGGGTCTCAAGGCAGCTTGCTCAGTAAGGTACTTGTGCAAGCATGAGGAGAGGACTTCTACCCCCAGGAGCCACTTTAAAAAGCTGGGCACAGAGCTGCACACCCGCAACCACAGACCTGGTGGAGGGGTGGCAGAGACAAGAGAACCCCCTTTGCTTGCTGGCTTACCAGTCTAGGAGAACCAGTGAGCCCCAGGTTCAAGGAGAGACTGTGCTTTAAAAAATACGGTAGAGATGGGTCCGGAGAGATGGCTCAGTGGTTAAGAGTACTATCTGCTCTTCCAAATGGACCTGGGTTCAATTCCCAGCACCCACATGGCTACTCACAACTGTCTGTACCCCCAATTCCAAGGGATCTGACACCTTCACACTAATGTACATAAAATTAAGCAAAAATTTTAAAAAAGCTTCAAAAAAATAAGGTAGAGAATGGTAAAAGATGACACCTGATGTTAACTATTGCCTTTGAATGCACACGTGTCTGTGCAAACACACACATGCACACACACAAGGATGAAATGCATTTATTAAAAATCCTGAATAAATAAGTAGATTGCTATTGTGGCTATGCTCCAGAAGAGTAGGGAGAAAAAAAACAACATTATGAGGCAGGGGAGGAGGGAGGGTGAAAGGGCCCAGGGTAGATGGAAGAAGAGGCTTAACCACTTCTCATCTTTCAGTCTTTCCTCCTGACTCCAGGCCTACCTTCCGGGAAGCTGCAAAGTGAGGTGGAGTGAGGCAGAGTGACATCTGGCCCGCTGATGCTCTTATTTCTTGATGCTCTTATATCTAGGCAGTTAGGGTACTGCCCTCTTGCGTGACTCGCAGGTCAAAAATGGGAGGTGTTCTAGGCTGGACAGCTATCACCTATGAGAGACTCCGTCTGGGAGAGGCCATCACTGAGCCTCCTGAAGCACCAAATGCAGGCAGCTGGCTGTCACTCATTTCTGCTGTCAGTCGGCTTCCTTCCTGCTTCTCTCCTCACATGTGGATTTTGTCTTAAGGGTGTGCTATAGCCCTGGCTGCTCCTGGAACCCACCAGGATGCTACAGAAACCCTGTAGACCCACAAGGACCAGAGGCCCAAGTTCAGTTAGTGTTGGGAGCAGGAGGGTGGGTGGCAGGGTTTTGTCACAGTTGACCTGTGTCACAGCCACTTAGGGCTATCTTTGGGGGTAGGAGCTCCGTCAGTTTGACCCTACGAAGGACACTCCCGGGAACACAAGTTCCTGGTAGAACTCAAGCTCAGGCTTTGTGTTTGTGATGAAACATTTGGTGGATCGAGGCACAGGAAGCTTTCTGTTTTCTCTGTAGGTGGCAGTGTAGGAGAACCATCAGCTCGCCTCACATAGTGCTCCATGCTTTCTGAGAGGCTCTGAAGGTGCCTCTCTCTGAGGCTTCCATTGGCCTCAGCCTGGCCTTGGGTGTACAGCTTTGTCTCCCCTGGCCCTTCCCACACAGGCTGAATTGGGGGGAGGTGTCCCTGGAATAGCCCAGAGCCCAGCACTGTGACAGGACTCACTTATGGTCCTAAGTACTAGCAAGCCACAAATCTCCCTGCTGTCCCTCCCACAGAGAGGCCGTAAGTGTCTCAGGTATGTCATTTATGGGCCACCTGCATTCCACTGGCACGAGAGGCCAGGTGAAGGACAGCTGGTGTTTATATCCCATGCCTTTGCAAAGGGCAGGGCCTGCCAGAGGCAGCCGGGCAGCTCGGCATGGACCTGAGGTTTTCCTGCCACGGGGTCCTCCTGAGAGGCCAGCTCAAGCCCAGCTGGAGGAAACAGGATCCCAGGGAGATACCCATGGGAAAGGGAACTGAACAAACAGAGCCTTGTGCAGCTTAGGACCTTCTTGTCAGGAGGAGGGAAACAGAAATGAGATGAACAGTAACGTGAGAATTTCCATTTCCCTCCAAGGAGCTGAGTGAAGCCAGATCTCGGGGAAGCTGAGTTCAGTGAACCGGACTGAAGGAATGTTAAAGACCATCAGCCCCTGGGACCTCCGGCCGAGCTCTAGGGTCGCGCTGCAGCAGCTAGGTGTGTCTCTGCAGGAAGCAAAATTGCATCTCCTTTGAGAACCATCTCCACAGCCTGCCTTGACCCGGGCAGTGGGGAACAGGTAGGTAGCGCCTGCTCCACAGAAGTCCACGGCAGCCACGTAGCCCCTAGCACCACACATGGTCCAGAGCGGCCGTGTCACCAGAGTTCTCTAGAGTCCCAGTGGCCAGGCAGGCGGTGCAGTCTCATGTCTTCCTTCTGGATGTGCTCATAACAGGACTGGGGAGAGAGACAAGGCTGAGGCCTGCTGGCAGACCTGTTCCCACAGGCCCTGAAAGCCACCGCACCCACCCTGCCCCAGTTAGGACTAGCTGTCAGCCACATTCTGCAGGCAAACGGCCTTCCCTCTGCGCACTGCCCGGAGCTGCAGCCTGAAGGGCTGTGACGCTCACCTGCCCTGCGAAGAGCTCCAAGTCTGTGAGGACCCTTTCCAGAGAGACACATAAGGTGGGGACTTGAGCTCTTTCTACCATGGTGCCTGGGGCGGGGAGGGCATTTCCTTGGGCTCCCAGCCGTGGCCTCTTACCTCTAAAGCTGTGAGAAGGAAGTCATGGAGGCCGCCTGTGTGGATGGGGTCCATCATGTCACGGATCAGGTGGATCTCAGCTCCCAGATGCTGAATTCTAGAAAAAGCACCGTGGCAACAAAGGAGAGAAGAAAGCAGAAGTCACAGGCAGACACCCCACAGCTAGGGGTGCGGCCCCGTCTAGAGAGCTAGACACTTTGGGAATGGCCCCAGCTCTGTCCCAGGCCCCCATGAGACCGGCTCCTTTCTGGGCCTCGGCTCCCCCTCTGTCCCGTGTTTGGTGTAGATGGGCTAGGAAGAGGTCTCACGTCCATCCACCCCCGTCCCCACCCACCGAGCTCGAGACACCACGTAGATAAGCAGCGGCAGAAGGTCGTCCATGGGCAGCTTGTGTTCCCTGCCGAGCACCCGTGACACCGTGGCCTCAATTTCCCCATAGGTCTTCTCGAGCACCTCCAGCTTCTCCCGAGGGTCCACTGTGGTACTGTAAGCAGGGTGCAACCCCTGGTCAGGGCCTGGCTGCTCAGTCTTGGGAGGAAGAGAAGGGGCAGAGCTCCTGTGCCCTTCCACGCTCCCCCAACCAGGACAGACACTCACATGATCTTCTGCAGACACTCAATGGCTGACAGGAAACACTTGTCCCGGACCAGAGAATATCTCTGTAAAAGGGGATAGGGGAGTAAAACGGGGGTCCAGCTTGGCATGCTCTCATCCCCAGGATCCTGTGCCACCCACACCTGCCCTGATGGCCATGTGGTCTGGGGCAATCCCACAGCGCCACTGTGAGCCTCGCTTTATGCAGCTGTGTCACGGGGGAACTAGGCTCCAAGAGGTTGAAAGGACCAAGACAGGCAGGTCCCTTGGTGACAATTCCAAAGCTGACGCCAAAGGTTCCCACACCCAAGGACTTCTTGAAACCCAGGTTCCTGAGCTGACTTCCTGCTTTCTGACTCAATGGGTATAAGGTGGGTGGGCTCAGTTTTAGAATTTTTTGCCTAGTACTACAAAAGCTGTGGGGCCATGATTCTGCTCCCTAGGAGGTTCCACATGGTCCTGAGACAGCGGGTGGACTCATGTGCCCTTGACCATGGCTGTCTTAAGAGGTGGGTCTGGTGGGTCTCTCTTCACACAGGAGAAAACTGAGACTTGGAGATCAGGTGCCCTACACAACTGTCACAGCCAGGACCAGAGCAGAGCCTGCTGGGGAGCCTGGTCACATGGGCTCCACTTGAGACAGGAAGGAAGCCTGGTGTCTCCTCCCTCACCTTCCTCTCCCTAGGCAATCCTGACTCCCAGGCAATCAGAAGCTCCAGGACCACAGACCAACTCCTTCCCACGAAAGCCAGACAGGCAAACACTACCCTCTCACCTGATTGCTTGTCAGCTTGAGGTCCTTGAGGGGCCATAGATGCCTAAAATTGAAGACATGAGATTGGGAAGCTTTGCAACTCTGGGATCAGAGGACACACCCTGTTCCTGTGTCTTCCTCTCCCCCCACCACTCACACACAGAAGGGCTAAGCACAGACAATGGTAAAGGAAAGGGGCCACTGTGGCCTCCTCAGCTGTATCCCACATAGCCTGAAGCCAGGGGAAGCCGTAGGCATAGGGTCCTGGAGGAAGTGATCTTCCACTCCTTTGTGTGACAAAGGAGCACTGGGCCCCGGAGGAGAATGGGAGCTGAGATTCCAGCAGGGACAATCAAGCACTTGGAGCATGGCTGTGTCAGGGGGGCACTAAGGAAAAAGGACATTTTAGAGGCAGCTGCGGGGGGGGGGGGGGGGCAGGGGAGGCGCCAGAGTATGGTGAACACCTGTCCGACCTGTTCCCAGAGCAGTCCTCAGTTTCCCCTTGAAGACCTCTCCTCCCCCACTCTCAGTCCAAGTGTGTGGGTCTTAATGGTGGGCCTGGAGGCAGGCCCAGTCAATGCTGGCCAGCACTCAGGGTAGGGAACCAAGCAAGGAGGGCCTCCAAGGGCACTGCTGGAACTGAGGGACAGAAAGCGCCAGCTCTCCCTGGGGGACAGTGGAGGGCTCGGAGGCACACAGCAACGACCCTGGCGTGGCTGGAGCCATGCTGGGGCAAAGTCAGGGGGAGAGCAAAGGTGTTTTCCTTTGTGGGATGGTTGGGCACCTAGCTCCAGCCACATCTGAAGGTGTTCCTGGCGCTCGTGGTGTGTGAATAAAGGAGCACGCCTCACGGCTGCGTAGAACTGCCAGCTCCCCGAGAGCGCTGGCTGAGCCGGGGGGAACAAGCTTACTTCTGCACGTCCAGGAACTCCAGCAGCTTGGTGTCGGGAAACAGGCTGAGGTTGGCGATGCCCTGGCTGTACAGTCCATCCTCTCTCTCGTGGAGAAGCAGGTAGAGTGTGAAGAGCTCCGAGTAGAAGTTGGGCAGGAGGAGGGGCAACAGCAGCCCGTGCACCTGCGTGTCCCTGAGAGGCCAAAATGGACGGGAGACACTGCTGTCAGGGCCATCTCTGTCTGCATCCGCAGAGCTGGGGTCCGGCCCTGGGGACAACCAATTCCTGCTCCATGTGACCTTAGGCTCAGCTCCTCCATGCCTCAGTCTCACGGGGCACAGGAAGGGGGAAGGCCTCTGGCAACCGCTCCCCACCTCAGCACAACTCAAGCATGAGGCTGGGAGGGCAGTTCAGAACAAAGGTGTATCCAGTGCGTGGTGGGCGGCACTGCTCCTGGGCGGCTCCAGGACCAAGGCCGTATGTCACCGTGATGTATAAATGGTAGACGGGCCAAGAGCGGTGACTAGCAGACATGCCCAGTGTTTTTCCAAGAAGTGCTACCACCCAGAGGCCGGGCCCAGGTACAAAGGCGTGGCTGGGTACCTTGTCTCTATGTCCTCTTCCTCCAGGGTCTGGCCCTGGCGCTGTAAGGCAACCTTCAGCAGACCCCTGCAAGTCAATGGGAGCGGCATGATGTGGCTGCTGCCCACAGAAACAGGACTCCACTGTCCCAGTCACCAACGCTCCCAGAACTAGCTCTCTAGATCTGGATTGGATGCCTGTGGAGCCCCGCCTCTCCCGCCACTGAGGGGCCGAGGCTGGAGCTACAGGGTGAGTTGCTGGAGGGTCCTGGCGCTCCAGTGGCAGCTGAAGCTCCTATCTGTAACATTCATGGGATCTAGGTTCTACTGGGACAGGATAGAGAGAGCTCGGATCCAGGGTCACACTCAGCCTACAGCAAGGGCAGAGTTCCTACAGGATCAGAGGTATGCCTGGGGACCAGACAGGGACTGGACCCTGGCCAGGGTCTGTTGGAGGCCCTTGCCGTCATCCCTCACACCTCTGACCACCACTGTCACACTGACCAACCTCTGATCCTGTATCGAAGACTTGAAAGGGCAATGCTGGGCCAGTCCCTAGGCGGAGGCTGTCACCCTATGCACAGCTTACCTGTAGGCAGCCCAAAGCTCCTGGGCGTGTTGCTTCGCCTCCTCCTGGGCCATGCCCTGCAGGTGTTTGTTGGCCCCTATGCCTGAATATGTGGCCTGGAAGGTCAGCATCAGGGTCTGGAGTAACTTCCCCAGGGGGTGTCGGGAATTGCTCAGAGCCTGGGCCCGTGAGAGAACAGGGATGCTTAGAGCCAGGGCCTGGAGCACAGTAGGCCCCAGACCAGCCTCCCGGACAGGAACGCCACAGAAGACCACGGTTAGCACCACGCTGTGAGATACAGGAGGCCTCCCCCAGGCTGGGCCCTCACCTTCCTGAGGTACTGCTGCAGGGCCTTGGGCTCTCGGTGCAGCAGCAGCTCCTGCAGGATATCTTCCATGCTGCCCGCACAGTCCTCGGGGTGGCTCCTGGGGCGCCATGCACAGTGTCCCTCACCCGCCCCTCAAGTCGGTACCCATGCCCAGGAGCTTCCCTAGCCCCCGCTGACCTGCAGGGACCTCCAGAGGGCCGGGCTCACCTTTCGCAGCACAGGTACTCCTGGGACTTGCGTAGCTCCCTGGAGCTCTGCACGTGGAATCCCAACAGGGCTTCCTGCAGTTCCCCGGGACAGCCTGAACGCACGAAGGCCCGGAAGGGGCTGTAGACTCCCTGCCAGCGGCTCTCCACAGGGAAGGCACCCACTCCCAGCTGTCTGTGATTGGGGGACAGTCAGAGACACGGAAGATGAGGCCGGAGCCACCGATCCCTTGGCACGGCCCTTCGAGGGTTGGTGGCACCAGCCTGGACCTGGGGGTGGGGCAGGATGGAGAACGCAGATGGAGTTGACCCCCAAGGCAAGTGGAGAAGAAAACAAGGCAGAGAGAGAGGGGCAATGTGTTCCGGGATGGAACATAGTTCTGCAGAGGTCAACAGATTCTCAACAAACACAGCAAGAGCTATTCAGCCGAACTGACTTTTCCAAACGGGTGTTCTGTTTTCGCAGGAAAAGAATCTGTCTCACAGACTACTGGGAGAGTGAGTCCACTTCCCAAGTTTCTTTCCGTTTTCATCTTGTCTGCCAGGGAACTCAGAGCCAGGCTAAGGGAGACTATAACCATATCTATAACTATGTCTCTCTCTTTCTTTTAAGATCAACTCACAATTTATTTATTTTTCTTGTATATTTGACTTGGAAACTGTCTTGCATTCTTTCTAGGAAAAAAAAAAAAATCTAAAACCAGGGTCAAAGTGAGACTTACAAGTTCTATTTTCCTTCCAGCGTGTGTATGGCAGAACACCCACCTAGCCCTAGACTTCAGGAGCCTCCGGCTGGAAGACTCGGGGCTCAGAACCGTCTATGCAATAAGGCCTCCACTGAGCCCCCAGGCCTTGGGTAGGAAGAGACACACACTGGGCTCTCACCTCTTTCGAGTACTGCGTGGGTCGGGCGGGAGGGCAGCCGTGTCCAGCACTCCCTGTGTGTACAGCCCTTTATCTGTCCCACTGCTGAAAGAACCGTCCAAGGTGAAACCGTTGGGGAAGGTGACCTTGCCCTGGGAGCAGAAAATGAGGGCAGAAATGTCCGCGTGCCCAGCCAGCCGTTCAACCAAGTGTGTCCATGCTGGGCCTGCCTGCTGGTGTGGGTCAGATGGAAACGTCTGACCGTGTGTCCTGCCTGTCCACTCAAGCTGCTACAAGATTCTAGGAGTCTCACTCACTGTGAGACGTGGTGGTCCAGGGATCTAGAGGGGCAATTCCTTGCTGTGTGGAGTTGCTCCCTTCCCCTGACCACTCAGGATGCGCCAGGCCTGCCTGTCCTTCTCTATCCAAAATTATCCCCACGTCCCCAAAGGCCCCGCATGGATACAGCTGTCTTGTGCTATGTCAGCTCAGGCGGGAACATAGAAAAGAACGGTGACCCCAGGGACAGCTGCCCAAGGCTCTGGTGGTGATGGCTCTGCAAGAGCACAGCACAGATACAACCAGACTGGGCCCTCTGGGCACAAGGCAAATCCTCCGTCTCTTATCACCTTGCTCTGTTAAGTCAGTACTACATGCTGCATGGCATGGACACGGAGCCCCCTGGAAACCATGGAGGTGGGAAGGGCACCCTTCAGCCTTGGCTCTGGGCCCTGGCTTTATGGGGTGGATCGAGAAGTGGCATGGCTCTCACCTTCCCTAGGAGCGTCAGGTCCCTGGTGAAAGTACCTTCATACAGAGAGTCGTCCTCACAGAGCAGGATGCCTGGGCCCTTGAAAGGAAGCAAGAAAACAGAGGAAAGGGAGGTGAGGCTGGACAGAAAACCAGGGTGGGTGGACACTGACCCACGGTGCTAAGAGTCCCTAAGCCCTGGCACTGCCCTCCCCAGATGTGTTAGGTCCCATGAGCCCCCATCCCTTGTTTTCCCTAGTTAGGCCTCAGACTTGGCTCCTCTTCCTTCAGCAGCCTCTTCAGGAAGCCCCTAAATACTCAGGAAGTGCTGGCTTCCTTTCAGCTGCTTCCCTGTCACTGCCCTGAGTCCTGGGGAGGAGGGGAGCAATCATATTCCCTCACTACCGCACCTGCCAGGAAGGTCACTGACAAGTTCATGTTCAACTTGTTCCTGACTCTATGCCATGGGCCTATTCTTGCCTTTCCTTCCCCTTTTCCCTGAGGTCTCCTTTGGTTCTTTCCAGAACAAGGTGGAGTCTAAACAAACAAGCCATAAAATCAGGCACATCTGTTGCCCAGAGCCCCACCTCGCATCAAGCGCCTGGCTAGTACAGAGGCAGAGGGCAAGAGCTGGAGGCCCAGGCTAGGGGGACTTGGGTTTGCTCTCAGTCTCGGCCAGATATGACTATGATGTTGGGCAGGTTCTCTGATGTCTGTCATCAATAAACATGTGTCGTTCATATGCTAAGGATAATGGCATCAGTTGCAGGAGTCACACAAGGACTCCAGAAGATGGTGGAGGTTCAGTCAGGGCCAGTGAGGGTTCTAGGAATGCCACTGGCGGACCTAGGACACGTTTGGTTCTTGACAGCTCACGTGTGTACACTAAGCACCATTGACCTGAGTTGCAGATGGGGAAAGTGAGGCTAAAAGAAGCCTGGATCTTGCCAAAGTCAGAGCAGATGGATGGCACAGCTGGCATCCCTTGTCATCCATACAGCTTGGCTTTGATTCAGCTAGAGTGCCCAAGGCCGGGGCTACCACTTACGGCTATCTTGTCCCCTTGGAATGTGCCCTGATAGCAGGCGCCTGCCTGGGTAACCACGACCCCAGGGCCATGACGCTGGTCGGCCAGCCACATGCCAATGTAGCGCTCACCCCTAAGGGAAGAGGGAATGTAAGAGAGGGGTCTCAGAATGGTTCCCATGTGCCCTCTGGATGCTCTGCTGGCAGGGGATGCGGGGAGACAGGCAGTGACAGAAGAAGATGAAGCGAGAACCCCAAGGAGAACAGAGGACGGCACGAAAGGGGGTCTTCTTTAGGGGAAAGCATGCCGGGTGGAGCCCCCTAGAGGTAGCAGGAAGCAGAGCTGGAGAGAAGCACCATGGAGGCCCGCCTCCAGTACAGAGCAAGACAAAAGGCTGAGGGGAACGGGAGCCAGTCTGACCTCTGGCTTCTCTTTGCCAGGACTCACCTATCACGGTCGTCCTCAATGCCATAGCCACTCCTCTGGCCTCTCTCCCAGTGGCCTGTGTACCTGAAGGGCTGGGAGGCTTGTGGGGCACTGTCGAGGACGCCAAATCCATGCCGCTGGCCGGCTTGGAAATAGCCCTTGTACACCTCATCAGTGCCATACCTGGAGAGATTCACCGATGGCTGGTTCCACCTCAAGCCCAGTCCAGAGGATATGCCTCCCACACCTTCCCCCTAGAGGCCAAAGGTCACTTACTCACAGATGCCGTAGCCACACATGGTGCCTTCCTGCCAGTGGCACTTGTAACAGTCAAACTTGTCCTCAGAGGCCTGGGGCACCAGGCAGATGCCGAAGCTGACCATGTGGTTCGGTGGGGTTGAAAAGTGAGTATCCAGGCCACTAGCCTGGTCAGATGCCCCTGTCACATCCCCCCAGGCTACCCAGTTGTCCTCGTCTCTAAGGAGTCCCCGTTCTCTTACAAAAAGTCCTCAGGACACCCCTCCCCCTCCGTGGAAAGGCCGAGACCCACACCCCTACTCCTGCCAGGTCCCCCTTCTGCGTCTATGTGGTGTGAGGAGCTGGGCCATGTAACCACTCCTGTTTGAGAGTTGGCAGTTTGGGGCAGCCAGTAGATGGTGGATGACAGGTCCTCTAGTTGCCCCTATGCCAGCACCTGCCCAGCCAGCCTTACCCATGCTCCAGGCCCTGGTAGAAATGCCCCACGTGGTTCCGTCCATTTGGCCACCTCAGGGTTCCCCTGGAACACAGGTGAGGGCCTCCGCCTCAGGCCACTGGACCCACGCCCAGTCAGCGGCACCCCCAGACTCTCCGGGGTGCCTCCCTTCCTTTCTCTCCCCTACGATCTTCCAACTAGGCTTTCTGCTCACCAAGACTTCATGGGAGCATTGCGACCTCTCACAGAAAGCCCCTCCCCCCCATCTCTGGGCACACTTGTACCAGCAGCCTTGTACAAGTACTGGGTACTGGGGTACTGTTGACATTTCCCATGGAGAACCCTGGAAAGATCTACAGCCCCCTTTCCCCTTGAAGCACAGGAGATACGGAACTAAATGTCAAGCCTGAGGAAATTCCTAGTCAATGGGATTCCTAGCATGCTCCTTCTTTCAGATGGCCTGCTGGAAGTGCCTAGCCCACAGCCTTGCCGACTCACTTGCCGTGGGGCTTGGCCCGACACCACTCGCCCTCATAGGTAGCCTGGCACAGCCGGCCCTCATGGCGGAAGGTATAGGCCACACAGCGACAGTCAGGGGGTACAGATGGCTCCCGGCCTGACCCCAGCACAGGGAAGTCCTTCTTGCCACGCAGGGCCTGGCACACAGCCTGGGTCACCTTCCACTGCCAGAGAACCTGGTGGGGACAGGAAGGCAATGGTGTCATCGCTACTGCAGGTATGGCCCTAAAGAGGCTCTCAGGGCACCGAGGCCCTTCCCCTCCACCCTGGCCTCAAGCACACTGCCCTTCTATGGCATGGCACCAGGCCTGAGATCCTTTGAGTTGCCCAGAGACCAGACAAGCCAGAGGGCTGCACCAAATGGTAGGAGCAGACCTCTACCCCAGTCCTAATGGTGGAAAATCCCCATTCCTGCAACATCCCGATACTCAGCCCTCGGCACAGCCAATTCCCGCCTGAGCCCTGCAGGACTGGCACTCCACCCTCCCTGGCTTCTGACTGGACCCCTACCATTCATGCGTCAAGCTCATTCACCTGGCCCTGGGGGTCTCTGGTGCACAACGAGAACTCTTCTTCAGGGGTGAGGATGTGAAGCACACACCTAGGCAGACAAGAGGTGGCCGGTGAGCCTGTTTCTGTCCAGGGTTAGAAGTGGGGCTCTTGTGGGAGCCTGGAAAGGTGAGCAGATATTATAGCACCTGGGGAGGGAAGTCCAGGGTCCCTGGAGAGAAAGTCACTCACTTGTCTGGGCCAGGCTCCACCCATACTAACTTCAGGTCAAAAGTGTGGACATTGTGGCCCTGGAAGTAAATGGGGACAGGTGTTGTCCAGCCATGTGTACAGACACACCTGCTGAGAGCCTCAACGCAGATCCTTCCGCTGCAGCCTGTTCCCTGTCAGCTGTAGCTCCTCTTTTCTCTCTCATCCTAACTGCTGGCCAGGCCTCTCTCTCCCTGCGTGGTTGCTGGGGTTTTCTGGCATCAAGGCCAGCCCCTGGCAGCCCCTGCCACAAACTTCTGAGGATCCTCTTGCCCGGGGACGGAGGCCCACGGCAGAGCCTGACCCCTGCAGGCTCGTGCACCTGCCTTCACACTCCCCATGCTGTCAGCGTCTGCCCTTCCGCCATCACGCCCTCCTGAGCTCCTGTCAAGCATCCTTACTTCACCTTTGCTCATGTTCTGTCAAAGAAGCTATCCATCTCTGAGACTGATGGAAAGTCCCTCTCTCTGGAGTGTTATTGTTCATTTGCCCCAAGAAGGCTGCTCACTTGACCAGGAAAGGGCTCAAGGCCAAGCCTGAGGATGGAGTTGTTTACAGGATGTAACTGAGGGACAGGAGAGTCCCACAGAAACAACAGCATGAGCAAAGGCCCAGACTAAAGTGTCCCTCTTTTCTTCTCTCCTCCCTCTTCTTCTCCCTCCCTCCTTCCCTCTCTCTTACTCCCTTCCCTCCTTTCCTCCCTGAAGTTGGTTTTGTCAGGAGAGGATAGTACAGACACAATCAGAACAAATCCCAAACCATGCTGAGGCGAGGGAGTCAGTGATGTGAGCACCACAAGTGCCATGTGAGTTTGGCCAAGGTTATTGACTATGGGACAAACCTGTCTGGCTTCCTCTTGACCCACAATCCTTGGCTTGACTCTCCACACCAGGGCCCACCCCTGCACCAAGCCTGTGGCCTCAGCTTCAGCTCCTGATCCTTTCCTGTTTCTAATCTGGCCCCAGAACCCTACCTCATGCTACCCCCTCCTAACCTGTAACAGGACGAGGGCATCATCAAAGAGCAGCACACGCTCAGCCCGCAGCGGGGTGACCCCCACAGGGATGTCCTGGCTATCCTGCAGGAGTCGGTGTGTAGGACTACAGAGCACATCCTGGTGGTGTGAAGACAAGAAGTTCAAGTGCCTATCCTGGAGGCTGCTGGCCAACCCTGCCCCTCCTGCCTGCACCCCAGACATCTCCCAGAGACCATCTTAGCAGGCCTAGGGTAGCCTCTAGCTCTCGCTCTCTCTCACTCTCACATACACACACACCGACACTCCAAGAAGTGGGAGTGGGGAATGTCATCCCTGAACTAACCCAGAAGGGCAGCTCTCTCTCTAGAGCTTTCCCGGGTGGTCTCCATACCGCACTCCTGCCACAGCAGGGTTCCTATCACCATCACCCAGTATGTTATACTCTCTGCCACCCACGGTTATTCTGGCCTGCTCTACTCCTGGCCTAAGCGTTCCCATCTTCTGGGGACCCGAGGACTCTCCTTCCTGCAGGCTACGCTAGATGGTGACAGGCATGCGTAATTGGCGGCACCACCAACAGAGAAAGTCTGACTGATAGCCACAGGTTATCAGGCCTCCTTCCAGATGGGGAAGCTGAGGCAGAGAGCTGCTCAAGCCACCCAGCATAGCTTCATATCCAATGTGGAACCCTAATTCCTCCACCGTCCCAAAGCCTCAGACTCACCCTCAGCCGACTGCTGAGGCTGTGCCACAGGGCCTGGGTGGCCACAGCTTGGTCCAAGGCCTGCCTCATGAAGGACTGCAGGTTCCCAAACAGGGTGACAGCATGCATCACCAGCTCCTGGGCTGGGTGGCACTGTGGGAGGACAGGGCAGGTAGGGAGGATCTTGGAACCAGCCACCCGACCAGATGATGGCCGTGAGGGCTCCAGCCTGGCCTTGCCGGTCAGGCCTAAACTTAAGCCACAGCTCTCTTTTCTCTCCCTTACAACTGTTCTAGGGACACAGAGGGAACATGAAGGTGCTTCCCGATGGACAGTTTGGTAACACCAACAGTGTGGTCCTGGGCCATACGTCCTCACACCCTAGTAGAGAATTCTATGTCTGCTCTTTGGCTGTCAACTGCTCCCTCAAGGCAGAGCCATGTGCCCAAGATTGCACAGGGAAGATTCATGCCCCCAGAACCCTTCCCCAGGGCAGGGCTATGTTCTTTGGGGGCCCCTCCCTCCTGCTTAACTTGGCCCCCTGAGCCTGAGCCCTGTCTCTCCTCTCCTCCATCCATCCATCCTTGAGCTGCTCTCAGCACCCACCTTGTCAAGGGTGTCCCTGAGGCTCAGCAGGAGGAGTACATATTTCTGCACGTGCTGGGCGAGAGGCTGGTGGAGGGCCTGGCACATCGTGGTGCCCACAGAGCCCTCGGGGCTCACACAGGACAACAGCTGCCGCAGGGCCTTCCGCTGGCTCCTCCAGTACTCACTGTATTTGGGAAGGGTCACAGACTACATTCACCCCTCCCAAGCCCACCCACCTGTAACACCCCCATTCTAACCTTCTCCCAGCTCCCAGTCCCAGTAGCCCGGCCCTGTAGCCTATTAGCCCAGCAAAGCACTGAGCTCTCTTCCTGGAGGTTCCGCAGCCTCGCCTCAGGGGAGACAGGGACAGACACTCAAATGGTGTTTGGACAAGATACCTGCTGCTTCAGGATGGGCTTCTCCAGCTCCCTCTCACCCAGACACTCACGCCCACACAGGGGGCTACTGTGGCAGCCCCAGGCTCACCTTCTCCTCTTTGAGACCCTCTGGAAGGCTTGCACCACCACGCAGTCAGTGTAGGACTTGATGTACCTACAGACAACCCAGCTACCTTGAAAGCCCAGCTCCCGACTCACACTCAACCTCTGCCCTTTTGGGGTCCCAGATCCCACCCACTGAGCAGCAGGATCCTGATGGTTCAGGCAACTGCTTGACACCCCCAAGCCGTGATTCAACAGTTATATCTCATAGGTCTGGTCCAGGACTGAGCCTCTAAGCCTGCTGCTAAGTTAACATCCTAGACTACAGGAGCATCACTCTAGCTGACCCTTAGGACCAAGCAGCAGAGGCGGCACTTTGGCACTGTGGCCAAGCAACAGGCTCCTCTCGGGGTGGGGGTGGGGTCTTACTCCATGTGGGCCTGCAGGACATAGTCAGCATTTCTCAGTAACAGCAGGGCCTCCAGACCTATGGAAGGTGGGTGGTACAGTCTCTGCCGCAGTGAACGCAGGCTCTGCTCTGTCACCTCCCACAACCGCTGAGCGCTTTCATGCAGTTGCTGCAAAAGCCGAAGGCACTCTCTGTCGCACGAGTCTGAGGGCTCCAGGTCTGTAGAAAGCAGAGCCACTCTGAGCTCACATCCAGGGAAGACCCTGTAGCCACGAGATGCTCAGCACCGTATCAGCACCCACTAGAGCTCTTGGGAGGCAGGGCATGCTGGGATAAAGAGCTGAACTCTTAAGTCAGTACGGTTGTGTGTCTGCCTCCTACTTAACAGGACCAACCCTAATCGTTTCAGGGGAACCAAGTCTCCTAGATCCCCTGAGTGTCCTCCTGTTCTCTCTAGATCCAGCTGTAGAATTTGGCATCTTTAAGGTCACTCTCCAGCCTCTTTATAGAGGCACAAACAGGCTGTGAGAGGGAAGCACCTGCCCAAAAAGCCACATTACAAGGGAGACCCCCAGTGAAAGCCTTATGTGTTCTGCCCGCTAGTCAGGGCTTTCCAAAGCACTACTGGGAGCCCTGAGTGGGAACAAGGAGTGAGGCAAATGGTACCACTAGGCCTGTGGGCCCCACGAGGCCATTTGGGAAGGAAACAGCCTGTACTTGGCGGCCAAGGCCTCAGCTCCATCAAAAGATGGCGGTAGCAAGTGCTACGGTTCCCACTTGAGGTTTCAGAGAGTCTGCCGAGGCAGAGCTCTTATCCCTGGGGGCTGCTCAGGTGCCCCTTCCCTACCGGGGGCCTAGACTCACCACCTAAGATCAGGGGCTGGAGGATAAGACTGTTGGTGCGAGCCAGAGTAGTTGAGAAGACCTCCTCCAGCCGAAGCAGGTCTGCCTCCTCAGAGCTACACATAGCCAGGGCGCTAGACACTGGGCCTGCCGGGTAGGAAGGATACAGGTCTCAGCCAGAGAATACAGGTCACAAGCATCCTCCCCAGTTCCCACAAGACCCATAACCACCCACATCAGAATCCCTTGCTGAGCTCAGCTTCTCTCAAAAAAAAAAAGATCTATTCTGGCCACAGAGCCCTGACCTGCTCCCTGACAGGACCCTTGAGGGAAGGGTCCTGAAGACTATCAAGGGAAGCAGCCCTTTCCACCCAAGAGTACGTGCTCTTCAAGCTCAGTTTTGGCCTGCTCAAATGCACCCTGGCTCCAGGCACCCAGGGGTTGACTACTCAGCCGTTCTTTGCCCTGGCCATCTCACCACTGAAGTTCCCACTCAGAGACTATTCCCTCTTTGGGGAAAGGAACATGCATGCTGTCAGAAGAGCTCAGTAATATGCTGATGGCGTGGCTCGGGGTCCCTGTCACTAGATAGAGCTCAGTAAGCCAGGAGAGACCTAATACAAGAGCAGTCTGGAGGCCTCCTGCTGAAGCAAGATGGAGCAGCAGAGCTTGGGGACCTGCAGACCCACAGGGAGGGAGGGAAACAGGAAGGAGGGAGGGAAAGGAGGGAAGGTGCAGAAGAAGGCACAGCATACATACAGTGGGGAGAGGTAAAAGCAAAGGCTCATGGGAGTGCTGGGCCAGCCTATGAGGATAGCCCACCTTCATTGGCCAGCAGACATGCTTGACTTTGCCTCAGTCAACCTTGAAGATCGTGGAGGGCTTTAGAATAAGGTACTAGCAGATCAAGGGGCAGAATGAGCAAGACCAACCTGGTGACAGATGGCCCCAGGCAACGAGAAAGGTCAGCATGGGGAGGACCCTACATGTTTACCTCCCCTAACCAGGCTGAGCCTCTAGATGGCTCCCACTTAGGAGAAGAATCCCTGGGGTAGGCAGGCAGGTCAGCTGCAGCCTTGAAATGCTCTTCCCCGAGTGAGGGATCTTCTAAGCAAGCACCAAGGGCAGGGGTTGTGAGGAAGCATGCTTGAGCCTGTTCCATAGCCAGACTGTGTGGCCCGGCTCAGGCAAAGCCTCCCACAGGCAGCCCTTGCTACCTTCACTTGGCAAGGATGTTCAAATGGCCTGATCTGAAAGATGCCTTAGGGTAGAGTTAAAGCTTCTTCACTATGCCTCGTCCTGACACAGGGTGGGTCAGATGTCACCACAGGCAGTCAATGACAGGCACGTGACATCAGGCAGACCCCAGCAAATGGCAAGGGGGCTCAGTCTTCCTGAAGGCACCCCAAAGATGTCATGGGGAAGTCCCAGGTTCTTGGCAGAACCCAGGACTCCAAGAGCACTGGCTCCAGAACAGAGAAGGGCGGGAACTTCAGAACTCTGGCCCAGATCCTGGGCCCAGGCATTCCTGCCCCACCTTTCCTGCTGCTGTTCTGCTGTGTGGAAGGGTGAGGCTGTGGGAGGGAGAGGCAGGAAAGAGAAACTGCTAGACACCCAGCGGCAGCCATGTTTGCTGGCAGTTAAAGCAATGCCACTCACCCTTCCCCCACAAAGACACAAGGAGAGGGTGGGGAGGGCAGGCACGAGCCACTCTGGCTCAGTTCCCACTGACCCTCAACCATGTTTCCAGAAACTGACAGAATGGAAAGTCCATCTCTAACCCTGCACTATGCTGGTACCCAGCCCACACCTCACCTGCTGTCCACAAGAGATCCACCTCTGCCTATTACGTCACAGCTCACCCATCCCAGTCCTCTCTGAAATGGAGCTCTAACTAGATCAGGACATTTCGAACCATTGTGGTTGCCTCTCAAGAGAACAAACTCTAGACTGAAGCTCCTTTTGGCATAGAACCTGGTCCTTGAGCTCCACATCCCCAAACATCCTGAAGCATAGCCTGGCTCTGGGTAGATCCAACAGATCCAGGCTAAACTCTATGGTGCCCCAGAAGGATTTCCAACCCCAGGAAATCACATCATCCAGAGGAAAAGGTAGAAATTAAGGGGGCCTTGGAAGGCCGCACTTAAGGCCAGGAGGGTGGAAGTCTCTGGGTTTGGAGCTCTGTCTGGGTTCACTCTGAAAGTGAGAAGGTGGATATAAAGCCAGGGACAAGGCCAGGCACGAGTGTTTGAGAATGTGCGTGCTGGGAAGTGACAGTGTGGAATAACTGAGGAGGCCAGCAAGAGTACTCTCCTCTCTAACCCTGGGCCCACCACCCATCAGTACCCCTCTGGTCAACCACATGACCTTATATTCTCCCTCCTGTCAGCTCTGGGGTCCTTAGTGGGAGGCTGTGCAAAAGGTGAATTTGAGGCAGGGAAAGTCCAGGGGGGCCTAGAGACACTATCTGTAGATCAGGTGCGTGCAGAGCTCTGACCCAGGCCCTGGCTCTCAGCACTAACAGGCTCACCAGAACTAAGTGGCTCGGAGGTGCTGGGTGACTCACAGAGGTACACAGTGCATTCCCGGCAGGACCACGCCACCCTTCTTATCCCCTTGGTGCTCACTAACAGGCAGGGTGAGGCCAAAAAAGTAAGTTGGGCCATGCACAGGTGAGTCAGCTATTGTCCTTGTGGCCATCAAAACAGTAGCTGGACCTGCTCCCTTTCCTCTGCATTCCTGGCCTCCGTCCCACACCAGACTGCTCCAGAGCAGGGTCACTGGGGCCTTCCCTGCCCTCACACAGTCCTGGCCCCTCAGGCCCCTCAGCCGCACCCTAGCATGGCACTCACTCTGGTATTTCCTGGTCTGGACTGGCATGGACCTTATTTCTGCTGTGGAGGCCTTTTTCTAGACTGTGCTGGAGGCCCATTAATTAACTTACATGCCCAATGGGCAGTGAAGGTAGTGTCTGTCCCGAGGAAGTGCACGGAACTGTCTGTCACACCTGCCCTCCCAACTCCAGCCCCAGTCTCTGCCTCTCCCTGGTCTAAGCTTCTGGCTCTAGATGCCTCCCTGGCTCCGCACTAGCTTCCCTTTCCTCTGCCTGCCTGCCATGGTGCACAGTCCCTGGAGTTGCCCAAACTACTCCGCTCCGACCTTCAGACATCTGTCTACGCGCTTCCCAGGCAAGAAACAACACCTTCTCGGCTTCTCTGTCAGCCCTTCCTGTCAGCCCTTCCGCCCTGACCAGGCAGGTCACCTCCTCCTGGTAGCCTCTCCCTCTGGGTGATACACTCGCACCCGGGGCCTGGCCTGGCCGGAAGGCACTGCGCTCGCGCTCCACACTGCTGCCCGGGGTTGGACCCGCGCTGCGTTTAAATCGGTGACCACGGGACAGGGAGGAGGAAGCTAAGAACTCCACCGAGGCAGATGATGAAGGGCTCGTGACCATGGCAGCGGGAGGAGGCGAGCGCCCCTACCCGCCGCGGAGCCCGTGGGGCAGCGGACCCCGCCCACAGACGCGCGCCCTTACCTTCGCCCTGCGCCGCGGAGCCCCGAGTGGCCGGCCGCGCAGCTCCGCGCCCCGCCGCCCTCCCTCTCCGCGCCCCGCCCCGAGGTGTTGCCGCGCGGGGGCGTCCCCGAGGGGGCGGGGCCAGGCCTCGGAATGTCCCCGAGCTAACCCTCAGCCTCTCCTGCCACCGCCGGACTGCCGAAGCTTCTCTCCTGCTCCCGCGCACCTTAGGATCTCACCCTGGCTGGCTGTCGCCTCTTACCTCCCCTTCCTTCCCGGCTCCAAGGACGGCGGGGGGGGTGCCTGAGGCCACCCCGATTTCCTTGCCCACCGACTCTGCTTGCTGTGGGGCCCTGAGACCTTGCCCCTTTGGGTCACAGAGCCCCCACCGCCACCCCCACATCTCCTCGAAGGAGCCCTCGGTAGATGCTGGGAAACTTGTTGCTCGGCCATGCTGACCCGCAGTCCCTGAGCTGGGCGTCCTTCAGAAGCAGCTACTGCTGTGTGAGACCTTGAAGGAGGCCCCCTCCATCCATTCCGGGTACAGCCTGAAGCTGTGCCAAAGCCTTCGACCTTGGAAAGAGCAGCGCAGTTCCAGACTCAAACTCTTGGAAGGAGGAGGGACCATGATTCAAACCTGTAACAAAGAGGCCTGCTGTCCGGCAGGGCTCCCTTTTTCGCTTGCAAGTGAGTCACCCCTCCACCTGCAGTGGCACTCGGCCTCTAATTGCTGACAAGCCTGGCCTGGTTGCTTCTAACCCTTCCAAGCCTGAAAACAGTGAAGAAGCCTGCGGAAGACACAGCTGTGAAAGAGAGATGGTCCACCTGCCCCCTACCCAAGTCTGGGACAGCCTCTCTCCATCCTGCCAGAGAGAAGAGAGACTTCCAAGAGTCTCTGGGAAGGGGCCTCCCAACCTCGGCAGCCCTGGCTCCCTAGGGTTGCTTTTGCTGCTGAGTCTGCTGCTCTGGGCCCCCACCACAGAAGACAAGCTCATTCATTCCCCTACCTCAGTGGGTCTCCATCCTCAAGAACCCTTTCCCCAGCTTTGCCTTCCCTCCCCACTTGGCCGAGACCTCTCCCTCTTTCAAGCCTTTTCTTTCTTTTTTTAAAATACTCGTTAAAAGGTAAATACATTGCAGGTTTCTCTTTTGGGGGGTGTATGATGCGTGTGTGTGTGTGTGTGTGTGTGTGTGTGTGTGTGTGTGTGCTTGGTTGTGTTTCCACCAATGCTGTCTTTTTTATTTTTGAGATAGTCTCTCACTGACCTTCACCTGACCACATAGGCCAGACTGACTGTGAGCACCAGGGATCTCCTTGTCCCTGCTACCCCAGTGATGGGATTGCAAGTGTACACCCCCACATCTGATTATTTCTGAGTTTTGGGGATCAAACTCAGTCCTTCTTGCTTCCCTGCAAACAACTAACTGAACTCTCACCTCAGCCCCAGCTTTGCTTTCTGTACCCTCTTTGGTGCCCCTGACAGAGCCTCAACTCCCACCACCCTCAGGACCTACTTTTCTGACTGCCTCTTTTTGGCAGACGGGGCAGACCATGAGCTAGAAGATTTGGTCTTATGCTAGGCTCCTCTGAGTTAGCCCTTTCCTTCTCTGGGCCTCGGTTTCCTCATCTGCACAGTATCTAAAGGGAGGCAATGCTGCCTGCCTGGGGTGCTGACAGGAAGAAAGGAAGGTCTGTCCCAGTTTCCTTCGCCAGATGTGACTTCCTAGTCAGGGGCAATTGGAAGATTTACTGAGCTCTGGGCTTTGCCATCTACTAACCCACCACACAGGCATCACCACTCTCTGTTTTATTATTTGCCAAACGAGGCAAGACCTACTCAGGTAGCCCTTGACTGGGGCCAGGTCTCCCCACTTCCGGTAGTCCCCAAAGGATAGAGTCTACTGAAGCCACAACCCTTGCCCCTTGCATCACAGGGCTCCTAGTTCTGCTCCCCGCAGATACGCACACAGCATGTGCATACACGCAGTTCCACAGGTGAGTACTCAACCGGGCCATGCACGTCCTCCACTGCTGGAGAGATGGGCCCCCTCTGCTACACAACGCCAGGGTAGCAGCCCCATCCATGGACACTTGAGAATCCATCTACAAGGACGTAGACTGACACACAAACAGAGAGCTGCAGGCAGAACGCAAGGCACTCCCCTGCACGCCAGTGTGTTGGTACACAAGCTCAAGTTCGTGCACATACCGGTCTGACCCAGGCTGCGTTCAGCCCTGAGCTATTCTGGGCCAGGCCAAGGGCCAACAAGTTGAGGGACAGCCAGCTCCCAGCACACCCAACTGCTGTGTCACTGGCCCAGGCTGACTCCCACCCCCACTCCAGGCTAAGTCCGTGGTGGCCTGGATCCCAGCCTGGCTCTGTGACTGGGTGGGTGGAGGGTCCTCCATTCTCTACCGTTCAGCTTCTCCAAAGCTAAGCCTTGAGTTCCATTGTACCAAGCTCCAGGAAAGAAATGTCCACGGGGTCTCCTGGACACTGCTCCATTCCCTGCCCGTAGCTCCCCACCCAGAGGCTCTGGAGGCTGGATTGGGTCCCCATGGGAAACCCCAGAAGTTACAAAAATAGTACAGGAAGGACAAGCAGTAGCCAGCATGCCAGGAAGATGTCTTCTAGGGAGCTATAGCACTCCCCCACCCCGGCCGTGATGGGTCCAGCTGAGGGGGGGACAGAGGCATGTTTGGGGGACCTAGTAAGAAGCTGAACAATCCCAGAGAGTGGTCAGAGCCCTGACCAGAGGCAGAAGACTGAGTTGGGCATTGCAATTTCTGAGGCTTAAAGCCAAGCACAGCTCCTCTCTGGGATTCCTCCCTCACAAGAGAACAGAGGAGATCTGGCAGGATGGCTCAGCCGGAAGGACAAGTGCTGCACAACCTGGCAACCTGAGTTCGGACTCAGAAACCCATATAAAAGCACAAAGAGAGAAACGGCTCCACAAAGAGAGACAGAGCCAAAGCAAAGGTTATCATTCTGACCAGTGTGCATGTAAGTTTCGTTTTCACAGGAAAGCTGGAAGCACCCTAAAAGTCTACCCGGAGGGATTTGAGTGAGATAATGTGGCTTTGCTTTTATGCGACATACTATGTATGCAGCCTTCAACAATGACAGTAAAGTGAAGACTAGCACTTAGCAATGGCTTGTCATGTACCTGTTCTACAGACAAGGACTGCTGGTTAGATGACCGGCTGGAGGGGTCACAGCAGTCAGTATCTGTGGGGAGTGTTGAGATAAGCCTTGATGGCCCACAGGGAATGGCGAGTGAAGCATCCTCGGAAGGTCCTGATCCACTGCACACGGTGCTGAGCCACTAGGGACTCCTAGCACACTAGTGAAGACTCAAAATGGCTCCGAGGCTAGGGCGGTGACTGCTTCCCCTTCTTTACAGAAGCCTCCTGAGGTGACCTTACCCCCCACATCGCCTACATTTCCTTCTAGTTGCACCACCTGATTGATTGTTGCTGGTGCCTGAGGCTATCGAGGGATGGTCTGACTGGACTTTCAGTCGTACAAAGGCCTTTACACTGAACGATAAAGTTAGATCCGCACCTTTGAGCTGGTCTCTGGAGTCTGGTTCCCGGGATTCTGTGTTGGCTCTGTCACCACTCACCACCTTCCCCGGGTTCCTGATCTTTAAGTCTTGAAGTATCACAAGTATCGTTAAGTTTTTTTGGCTTTTTGTTTGTTTGGTTTTGTTTTTGTTTTTTTGAGACAGGTATGGAGCCCAGGCTGGACTTGAACTCCTGATCTTCTCTTCATCTCCCAAATGCTGAGTTTAAACTCTAATAGCTACAAATGTTATATAAAAAAAATAATGCAGCAAAATTATAAAAAAATGTAATTTGAAAATTTAATTCTTTAAATTCTCTTATGTTAACTAAGTTTTGTGAATTTTGAATAACATCCCCTTTTGCCAACTTTGCCAACTTCAGAGGGAAAAAAAAATTTAAATAAGTAAATCCAAATGCTGTTTCTTTTGTCTTGCTGTGTAGGCCTGGCTGGCCCAGAACTCATTGTGTAGACCAGGCTGGCCTCAAACGTGCAGTGATGCTCCTGTATCTGGCTCCTCAGTGCTGGGATGAACGATAGGTGTGTGGCACTTGGCTTCAATTAATGGCATTTCTTGTAAGTTCGTGGCTTTATACTTCTTAAAACTTAAAACTGCTACGACAAGACTTTTAGGATACCCTGTTTTTCCAAGTCAAGTGGATTTTGAAGCCTGTATGAAAGTATGACAGTATTACATGAGTGTGTGTAGATGCACTGTATGAAAACATGACAGGATTACATGTGTGTGCACATGTGCCATGTGATAGTATGACAGTATTAAGTGTGTGTGCACATGCGCAAGCACACACATGAGTGTGTGTGTGTTGGGAGGAAACGACTAGGGAGTTTGCGTTGGATAAAAAGACTGGGATTCAAAGGCATGTGAGGTGGAGCAGGGAGCCATCAGCTCCGTTCAAGATCCTGTCTGAAGTCAGCCTGGGCTATATAATGAGACCCTACATCAAAATGAGAGAGGAGAGAGAGAGACCCTATAGGGATGTAGCATGCTTCTCTCTCTCTCTCTCTCTCTTCTCCTCCCTCCCTCCATTTTATTTATTTATTTGTTTGTTTGTTTTTAGTGCTGGTGATTGAACACAGTGTTTTGCACATGCCAGGCAAGCACTCTGCCACTGAGCCACAATTCTAGCTTGCCCTACTTCTCCGTGGACAAACAAGACAAAGTACTTTGGGTTTTGTTTGTTTGTTTCTGTTTTTGTTTTCGAGACAGGGTTTCTCTGTGTAGCCTTGGCTGTCCTGGACTCGCTTTGTAGACCAGGCTGGCCTGGAACTCACAGTGATCCACCTGTCTCGGCCTCCCAAGTGCTGGGGTTAAAGGTGTGCACCACATCTTCGTGGCTACTTTAATTTTTAAAATGAATTTATTTGTATTTTATGTGTAGGAATGTTTTGCCTGTGTGTATATCACATGCCTATCGAGTTCAGGAGAGGGTGTCAAATCTTTTGGGACTAGAGCTACTGATGCTTGTGAGACATCCGGTGGATCTGGGACTCAAACTTGGGTCCTCTGCTAGAGCAACAAATGCTCTTAACCTCTGAACTATCTCTCTTCTTCCAAGACAACAAACTTTAAACAACGGTACCCTCCTTGCCTGCGCAGCAAGGGCAGTCCTGTGAACAACAGTCCTAAATGTCCTGCCAAGGGGGGCCAGCTTCCAAAGCCAACAGTCCCTGTACACTCCCCTTCCCCTTTAGCCTTGTTCCCCAGGCCAGAACAGAGCAACAGTCTTCCCAAAGCCACAGTCTGCCTCACCCGGTCAAAGTTCAGTCCTGGCTCTAAGCACATGCCCTGAGGGTGATTATCCCTTCAATCAGTGTGGCTATGCAAGGGCCTTCAGCAGAGGCTTGAGGAAGTAGAGGGAGAGACCTGCTGCTAACGCTTTCGTTTTCGAAGCAGTCCCTGGGAAGAGGGTGATCCGTGTTGTATTGTTTTGGGATTTTGTTTCGCTTGCTTTGGATGAAGAGACCCCTAGATTTTGCCATCTACTCTTGAGAGTCTCTTTTAACAGCAGCCGTTTTCCTGCCCGCCCTGTCATCTGCAGTCTCTGAAGCGCAACAGGCCTACCTCAGCATCCATCAATGGCACATCCAGGGTAGAGCCCTGTGAGAGCCAGCTGGGCTGGCCTCCACTGCGGCCTCTCCTAGCACACGTCAAGCAGATGATGCAGGAGAGAAGGAAGGAAAAGACAGGAGCAAGGTGGATTAGCGTGTAGGCATCTCCAAGCTCCAACTGTCCCACTGTCCCCCTGTCCCCTAGGGAGCCCCTCCCCCAGGCCTCCACAGAGGCTCAGGAACTCCATCACTGGGGAGTCAATGTTCCCACAGGGTCAGGCCCACAGTGCTGTGTGGGGGATCATCTTCATGGACTTGCTAGAGCCTAGGCCCAGGCTGTATTGCAGGACAGTCAGCAGGGTCAGAAAGTGGTCCTCCAGCGTTTGCTGACCTTTTCTTGCAGAGCAGAAGCTGCTGGCTCCATCCACCACACCAACATCTGGCCAGCTCTAATTATGCTGCCCCTGACTCTCCATATTCCCCCCTCCTTCTGCTCTGGTGTCCAGGGTGACCAGAGCTGCCTCTGGGCAGGAAGCCAGCCCAGAAAGTCCAGGACATCCCTCAGTGCCTGTCACCATGGCAACATGCCCGTTCTGCCCCCTCTCAAGTCCAGTACCACCCCCCCCCCCGCAAACTCAGGACGTCAGAATGGGAAGGGCCTCCTACATCAGTCGATTTCAGCCCCTCCCCTTGTTCCAAGTAGAGAAACTGAGGAAAGGGACCGGAGGCGGGGATGGGGCAGGGTGGGGGTGGGAGAGAAGCTGTTGATTAAGGACCTACCCCCTACCTCAGCGTCCTAAGGGGTGGAGGGGGAGGTCTGATATTCTGATATTCTCAGCAGGGTGCCACCCACGCCTACCCTCACCCCAGCAGTGATGATGGCGCAGGTGGTGTCCCGGGAACCTGACACCCAAGATGAATAAATGATGCGGACTCCACCGCCAGCGTCCAGAACTCTCCACCGCCACCATAACCGCCGTCACCGCCGGCCAGTGGCCAGGGGCATCAGCCCCTCGGCTCCCAGGATCTGCACGGGAGCGCGCGGCGAGGCGGGAAGAATATGGCCGGGAGGCAGCGAGGCGCGGGGCGGCTCTGGGCGCTGGGCGGAGCCGCGCTGGGGGCTTGCCTGGCAGGGGTCGCCACGCAGCTGGTGGAGGTGAGGCACCGCATCACGGAGGGCGAGGGGTGCTGGCGCCGTCCAGGCAGGGGTCTGCGGGTGCGGGGAGCTGGCTCTATCCCTTCATTTTGCTTGGTGGGGTGACACGGCCCTTCACGCTTAGAGTCACTGGGCTGATGGCAGAGCGCAGCCTCTGACATCAGGGACTCAAGGAAGTTCAGTGTGTCCGTGTGTGGAAGAGGGAAACAGCTTTGCCATCCATTCGGTCTTTGTTTTCCTAGAGGATGGGGAGAGGGAACTTTCAGCTTTTTTTTTTTTTTTTTTTTTGACTTCTGTTCCAATGGAGGATATTGAGGCCCTGGATTTAGGGTATGATGGGGACCTGGCCTTTCTCTGCACAAATCCCTCAAAGGCCCCTATGAAGGATGGACCCAGGGACTGGAAGGTCCAACCAGGTCCTAGTGATTACTGGGGCCCTGGAAGGTTTCTGAACAGACATGTTGTCAACAGTTGCTGTTTGGAAGAGCAAAAAGAAAAAAGGGAAAAGGGCACAGGGTGGGAGAACTGGGAGGGGACAGCCCAGAAAGGAGATGAAGAAGATGGGTGGGGCAAGCTGCCCCGGAGCTTGGCTGGGACCACCTGCAACCTCCCCCGAAGGAGTTAGCGGAGCAGACTTAGAAGTCAGGAGCTAGAGGCCAAAAGGCCCAAGAGCCAGGGCCGGGGAGAAGTTGAGGGTGGAGCCTGGGTAGGCAAGGGCAGAGTGGAGGCCAGGGAGGCAGTTAAGCAACAGGGTGGGATGGAAGACAGAGCTGGTTATGCTCAGAGGGTTCTGAGGGGTAGCAGCTTTGAACCGTCGAGTCTGAGGACCACACCCCATGGTCCAGAGAACTGTACCGTGTGTAGTATGTCTCTTCTGCAACTGACCAGGGGTGTGGAAGAGGCTGTGGGAATCAGGTGTCAGCTTCGGTCCCCTGTAAGGGAAGCTGGGCTGGCCTGAGCCCCATGGGCCACACTAACTCTCACCAACTGCCCTGAGGCCCTGCCCAGAAACTGAGCTGCCCTCGGAGCAAAGGCTGCAGCAATGGTCAAGGCAGTTCCGAGGCAAGGAGGCTCCCATTCCTAGGATCTCACAGCAGAAATCACGTTTGGACTCCATCTGCCTCCAAGCAAGGCCTAACCCTTTCTTTCAAGGAAGCATGCTGGCATCTACAGGACTCATCAGTCCAGCCCTGTGCCATTCCTCTCCACTACCTTCGAAGTTTCAGAAGTTCTGCCTGTGTCAGGGCCTACCATAAGATGCCTGGCTGTTGCCTGTTGCCCTCTAGCCAAGAGCGTGATCAGAATCTTCCAGTTAGATAGGCCAACACACCAGGCCTGTGAAACGGGGAGCAGCCGTGGCCGAACCCCCGACTCTGATGCTGCAGTTGTGAACCCAACCGCACACACATTGCTCCAAGCACATGCCCTCTGGCTGTTTGTGTGTGTGTGTGTGTGTGTGTGTGCGCGTGTGCGCATGCTCATGCTCACTCTCACCTCTGCGTGCCATGTATCCACATGCTCGCCTGCCCTCACAGGGGCTTCCCAACCCACCACGGGGTAGTGCCGAGTTAGTGGTATGTTATTGTCAATTTTGCCATCAGATCGGAGAGTTCCCAGAGGCAGCTGGCATTACCCCACTCCCATTACAGGGAGAGAAACTGAGGTGCAGAATAAAGAAAGGAGCCCCATCCCAGGCCTTCTTAATGAGCGGAAAAGAGCTGGGAGCCTGTGCCAGTCTACAGCTCGGCCATTCTGGGTTGCCTAGCATAGTCAGTGATCCCTCTGAAAGCCATCTGCCCTGTGGTTGGCTGTTGTTAGATGAGGAAGTACCTGGCTCCTGGTAGGTACCTATCCATGTGTATGGACCATGGTGGGGGTGTGGAAACAGGACAGAGGCAGAGTGACAGGTGGCTTTTCTTTCTCAGATAGCCACAGGGGACGCTTCAGGCCCATCCTTATGATTATTTAGGAGACAACGATTGCACAAATGCCTGGCCCCACCCCCTTCCTTGTCCCTTAGTCAAGCTTGTTGACAGAGACAGGATTATATCTCTTTCTGGTCAAAAGTAACCTCTCTCATATTCCACAAGGCTCAGCCGCATTCCCTCAGGACAAACACCCAGGACAGGCTGAGAATGAAATTAAGTTGATACAGTGTTTGCCTAGCACACACAAAAACCCCAGGGTTCAATCTCCAGCACAGCACAGCATCTATAAACACACACACACACACACACACACACACACACACACACACACACACACACAGCAAAGCAGTAACTCCAAAACACCCCGATCAGTGATGTGTCCCCTCATTCCCCCGGAGACGACTGTATTTTCTAGAATACAGGAGACTGTCCTTTAATACCCCAGGGCAGCTCCCCTTAGACCTGAGGCATCGCTGTGCCTTCTAGAAACCACAGATAGAATGGTGTCCCTGAGCCATGAGTCCACAGAGCCTCGCTGTCCTTCTTAGCCTCACTTACAGCCTTTAGCCACCTGGTGGCGCTACGTTACTATTTTTTCCTATGTCTATCCTGGCTGGCCCAGCCTTCCGTTGGCATGGCTATCAGCGAGCGGGGTGGGAGTCAGAGTGTGGACACCTGTGTCAGGACGGTCTGACCACGTAGCCCCGCCGTAGAGCTCTACGGGGAGATGAGAACAAAGCCAGTCTACAAGGGCAGCACACTGGCCATGAAACAGGCCTTGCCTTGTCTCTGGCCTTGGTCCTGAGACCCCATGATTGCTGGCTAGGACAGGCTGTCCACCTTTGCTTCTTTGAGCCTTGGTTCCCCAAGCACCAACCCACTCCTCTAGTCCACGTCCCTGATGCCATGGTCTGGGACTCTGATCACTGCTTTATTTCTAAATCCGGGACTTTCTGAGCTCTAGGGTGTTGGTTGTGGATGTCTGACACTTTTGGGGGGATTCTAAAATGTGTGGGCTGAGTCCTTGCTGACCCCATCCCAGCCTGCTGGCCTGTGCCTGGCTCACTCCTTTCCCTCTTGACCCACAGCCCAGCACGGCCCCGCCCAAGCCCAAGCCGCCCCCACTGACCAAGGAGACCGTGGTGTTCTGGGACATGCGTCTGTGGCACGTGGTGGGCATCTTTTCGCTCTTCGTGCTGTCCATCAGTGAGTAGCCACACCCTGCCCTCTCCCCCCACCACGAGAGGAGCACAGACATCCTCACACCCAAGTTCCCTTCAGCACCCCTGGAGTTTAGAGCAGCAATTCCCGGCCATTCAAGTAGGCCAGGCACTCACAAGGGGCCCACCGTGGTCTCTGGCACCTCCTCACTGGAACAAAGTCCCCGTGGAAGGCTGACGGGCCAGTGGTCACCCAGAGTTCTGCTGGACCCAGGGAAGCAGCCACACGGCAATTATGATAATTACAGGGACTCCAACCGAATCCAGGACATGTCATCTTTCCCTAAGTCTGGCCTCCTGGTGCTTTTCTTGTAGTTTGGCCAATACAGAGAGCCCACACCCAGGGGCCCCAGCAAGGCCAACCTCCACAGAGGCTCCCCAGACGCCTAGCACATGTGGCTTCCAGGCCCCGAGTCCTGCTCCTCAAGTGCCGTTTTTCAGAAATGACTCAGACCTACTTCCTTTCAAAGCAGGGGGTCCATTCCTCCCTTCCAGTCTGGGCTCCTCCTGATGCAGCCTGCATGCACCCCTCACCTCTCCCCCAATGTAAAGTTGGGGGTGGGGATGACAAAAGACTGAATGAAAGGGCAGGCCAGGTGGGAGAGAGGGCCAGGACACAAAGACGGGGCAAAGAGAGGGCAGGGAGGAGTAAGGAGGGGAGAAACCCACTCCACCAAGGTGCACCCAGAATGGGTGATATTTGAGATCTCGTGGGAGCTTTCCCAAGAGATCCCCCAGAGTGCTGGGTGGCCACAGAGAACACATCCAGACGTGAGGGGCTCTCGAGATGACATGACATCCTTATCCTGGAACCCAATGTGTCCTCCAGGGAGAGTCTCCCCTCTTCCCAGATCTGACTGAAACCTAGATAGAAGGCAGCTCAGTGATGGCCCCAGAGAAAGGTGTGCTAGCAAGATCCCCTACATCCTGAGGGAGACCACACTTGTTGTCAAGAGGCAGGGTTGGGGAACAATTGCCCCCGAAAGCCCCGGGGCAGTGAAGGGAACAGCTCTGGGATATGCCTAAGGGTAACAGCTAGGAACCTGAGTCTTCCCTCAAGCTTTGCTCAGGGGCTAAGCAAACTACTCCTGGGGGTCTCATGTATCCCCAGCTCTTCCCTGGGCCTCAGAGCCTGACCCCACACCCACAGTGACTCGTTTTCTTTGAAGAGAAGCAAGCAGGCCAGTGGTCAGATTGTGGAAGCCTTAGGCTAGGTAGGGCAGGCTCGGAGGGGCAGTATGTGATCCTACTCTAGCTGCCAACAGCCACCTGTTCGGCTTCTTCTGAAGCCCTGGGCTCTCGGGACCTGGCACCAACCACATGGAGCCTTAGCAGGCAGGGTCCTGAGGGTGCCATTGGGACGATAGGAAAGATGACCCAAGCAGAAGGGTTGGAGCGTGAGGATAATCTGACTCCAAGGCATTACAAAGGGGTCTGGGAAAGACCAAAGCAGAGCACTTTGAGTCATAAAAGACCATTGCTGACTCAGGTCTAGCCCCAGGGAGCCATATCCTGGGGCCCTAGTGCAGCCAGCCCCTGCCCACCCCACCCCCAGCATATTCCTGAATGCTGATGGCTCCCAGAGCCAATCATTCAGGAACCCAATCCTGTTCCCAGCAGTTTTTGGACCATCCTCCCAACCTTCCATCTAGCCATCCTTTCCATTGCTTCTCCCATTCTAAAGTCTCGGTGAGACAAATGGAACCAAAATATTTGGCTCAAGGTACACTGCTTTGGTTGAACAAGATGACCCTAGACTACCTAGGTCTGATCCATTTCCTCAAAATAGACCTGGCTTGTCTTGCCTGGGCCCTCCTTCACCTCAGTAGCCTGCCAGGAAGTTTCGTCTGGTCATATTATTTAAAATAGGAACCAACCCCACCCCCTCCCCAGGGGCTGGGGCCACAGTGGTCAGATTTGTGGGAGCCTTAGAAAAATAAACTCGGCCCAGCCAGCTGGGTCCTGGCAGCCCTGCCCTGCCCATCACTAGACAGGCCAGCTCCATGCTCTGCCCAGTTGACGTGGGCATAGCTGCCTTTAACCAGAAAAACACTCCTGGGATAACTCCCGAAGTAAATGCCCGGGAGAGGGTCTGGGCCTTCCGGTTTCGTCCCCAGCCAGTGTGCAGGCTTGTTCTCAAGGAGGCTGAGGAGAATGCAGCCACATCCTCAGGTGTTTGAGGCACCTCAGCCTCTGCAATCAGGAGACTAGCAAAGGAAACCTGGGGCATCTGCCAGAAGCACAGAGTAGCTCTAGATAGCCATGGCTAAAGCCATACTTAAGGCCTTCACTTTACCCTCCTCTAGTACCCAGTGACTCTCAGACCAAGACGGCCTATAGAATTTGTAGGCTGGTACAAATGAAAATCCTTACCAAGTTGCTAAGGATTTGATAGTAAAGCGTTACGCTAATACGGGCTGTGTGCATTTGTGTGAAGTCAGATTCGCAGGGGAGGCCACCTCAGGCTCTTGCAGAGGTCTCTTATGTGAGACATGCCTCAGCAGAAGCCAGGACTAACATCTGGGCATCACTCCTGGCTAAGACCTTACCCCAGCCAAACCTGCTCTGACATCCATACAGTCATCACTCTGTGCTGTGTCTTCAACTGCCGGGTACCACGGACACGGAAGGAGATCGAGGCTCGCTATCTACAGCGGAAGGCAGCCAAGATGTACACAGACAAGCTGGAGACCGTGCCTCCCCTTAATGAACTCACAGAAATCCCTGGAGGTGAGTAGACGCCAGTCCCATGGCAGCTGGGACTGAACCCTGGAGCCGGCCAGCTCCTCAGCCCACTGTTCTCACTGACCCCGTCCCTGCCCTCTTACTGCATCTGGTTCAGAGAAGGATTGGGTGCTATCCTGGGAGACCACAGTGCAGAAACTGGTCAGAGGCAGGCAGCTAAAACAAGGAGCCCATTTTCTAGCAGGAAATTTGTCTGTATGGGGGGAGGGGTGGCTCGGTCAGTAAGGTCTTTGCCATACAAGCACAAGGACTCGTGCTTGCAGTTCTAACACCCACATTAAATAAATAAATAAATAAATAAATAAATAAATAAATAAATAAATAAATAAATAAATAAATAAATAAATCCTAGTGTGAATCCTAGTGCTGGGAAGATGGTGAAAGGTTTCCTGAAGCTCACTGGCTGGCTGTTCTTGCCAAGTTGGTGAGCTCCAGGCTCAATGAGAGAGCTTGTCTCAAAAAGCTAAAGTAAAGTAAAGAGATGGAAAGCTGCAGACCGCACCCAGAGTCGGCCTCTAGTCTCTGCGCACATGCGCACGCGTGTGCACTCATCTTCACACCTGCCTCCCAAACAAAATAGATCTGAGGAGGGAGGGCTCGAGAAGAGAGGTTCTGGACCTTCCCAGTCTCACCACCTTGGCCTCTTCCCTCTCCCCTCCAGAGGACAAGAAGAAGAAGAAAAAGGACAGTGTGGACACGGTGGCTATCAAGGTAGAGGAGGATGAGAAGAACGAGGCGAAGAAGAAGAAAGGCGAGAAGTGAGTCGTGTCCTGGAGGTGGCAGCTGGGGCTGGCAGGCCCTGAAGCACAAGTTCGGGCCAGGAGCCAGGCATCAGGACTCCGTGTTCATACATGGACCGTAGAGGCTGTGGTCCGAGGAGAGGCCATGGCCATTATCTCATGGCTCAAAAGACGCAGGGACAAGACTTCACAAGTGTCCATCGGAGACTCTGTTCCTTTCACACCATCAGTCTGGGCACTTCTCTTGACGGTACAGAGTGGCCTCAAACTCCACTCCCCACCCGGAGAGGCTTCTGACCCACCCTTTTGGCCAGGGGCAGAGGCGTGTATGAAGGAGTCGGGGAATGGCAGGATTGTGTGTGAACTCAAACGCATGGAGGGAGGGCTGAAGGGGGGCTTGTGGCATGGACTCTCTGACATAGCAACCCCGATAGCAAGGACTTTGCCCTGAGCTTGGCAGGAATCTGTCCTTGGTTGCCAAAGTGGCCCCATTATCAGGAGAGTCCCTGAACTGGCAAATGCCAAGCTCTGGGAACAAGGTGACAGTATGATGGAGCTGAGGCCACTGGGGGCTGGCATGAGGCCCAGGGCCTAGGGGCTTCTGGCTGAGGGGTAAGGTCTGAAAGATGCAGCAGGCTGAGGTCAGTGGGCTGAGTGAGAAAGCCTAGGTCTCCTCATGGGAATCAAGAGATTTAAGAAGCAGGGTAGGGGCATGGACTATTACAGTTGCCTTTTCTATGGCCAGGACTCTAGCAGGTCATAGCAGGAGACACAGGCAGCCATCTGCCTGAGTACAGCTGTATGACATACCTCTTCTGCCACAACCCTACAAAAAGGAAGCGTCTCCGCCAAGAAGACAATACAAACGCCATTGAGGCGCTGATTCTACAGGGCTCTTCCAGCATCCAAAATGAGGAGCTAGGGACTGAGCTGGGAACTGAGATCCTGGGAAGACCTTGCAGGTGGCAAGCCTACTAGAAAGGCATCCTGAAAAGATTTGTAAATAAAGCTGGGTGCCTTCTCAGCCCCAGATATATAAAACTTCATCCTGAGATGAACTCCAACCCTATAAATATGTTTTGCCAAGCCGTGGAGAATTCCTGTAGAAGGTGACACAATAATCCATAAAAGGTTCCTCAGATGAGCCTGAAGTTCTCTCCCTGACCCCTGTCCCAGACTGAGAAAAAAAAAAAAAAAAAAAAAAAAAAAAAGCCCAGAGGCTGAGGAACAGTTGTAGGCCTCACCCCCAACAAGTGGACAGAGAGGGAAATTGCCAGGGCTAGCCTGAGCTCTCCTCCACTCTACCCCATGCTCCCAACAGGCCTCTGATGGTTTGAACCTGGTGCCAGGATACACAAGAACCATCCCTCACTCCTGACATGGTCCTAGGTCATCATCCTACAAGAAGCATGACAGGATGACATGAGAAAAGAGTACTGAGGGGGCGGAGGGATCACAGAAGGCCCCGTCACGGAAGTAAGAGTACTGGCTGCGCAGATGTGGTTGGCTGACCTCTACCTTCAGAGCCCAGTCTATGGGGTCCTCATTCATAGAGCTGGCTGGGGTACTTCTCCCCAGACAGACCAGAACCCCTCTGTGTGGCAAGGCAGCAGCAGTCCAGAGGGCGTGAGGCCACTCAAGGTCAGAGCAGCAGCTGGTGCTGCCTGTGGGAAGTGTGTCTGTTCTATCAGTCCTTTGTGTACTGCATGCACCTCCAGGCCCGAGGCAGGATCAGAGGGCTGTAGTATACTCTATGGAGCTTTGGGGACAATAGTCTGGAGAGTTCCAGCCACTGGCCGAAAGGCAGCCAAGACCAGGGAGAGTCCAGTTCCCACTCAAGGATCACAGAAGGAACATGTCATTTCCATCTAAGGGTCTGGGAGGGGGGTCCCAGTGTCCCTAGCTTTAGCCTGGGCAGTACATCCTAATTTCCCAGTGCCCCTTCACACACACACACACACACACACACACACACACACACACACACACCCCTCTGCTTTCCGCAGGAGTCACCCCAGAGCCCCTCACCCACCCCATCATGTATTCCTGCTTCCCGCCAGAGCAGGCTCAGAAAGGAGGAGACCTGGGAAAAACAAGTGTTTAATCTCTGCTAGTCCCTGCTGGCTGAGCACAACACCCACAGCAGCACTCCGAGGAGGAGAGCAAGGAGAGAGGCCTGGCCGTGTCACAGAGTGCCAAGAAGGCTGAGGAGCAGAAGGAAAGCCAGGAGCAAGGTCCTGGAGGGGGCTGGAAGGGTCAGGGGCTCCCCACTAAGGCTGTCCCAGATCCACTGCTGGTAGGGGGAGATATGCTGAAAGATGGGTGGGGACTCGTTCTTCTTGCAGCCCGGGCCCCAGCTCATCATTCCCATCAGGTACCATATACCGCTGTCCGAAGTGCAGACCAAGGGCTCACCGGTTATCTCCTGTAAGGGCGGGGAAGTTAAAAGGGTTAGGGGGGTGAAGCCATGCCTCAGGGAGACATGGCCCCGTCAGAGAGCCAACCCAGATGTTTCCCACCAGATTCTTTCTAAGCCCCTCTCAGTATAGCTGATAGGTGCTTCCTCACCTAGATTTCCTCCTCATAGGACACTCACTCCTCCACACCCCACTCCCTCCCAGTCTCACCCCCATCCTGTCCGGTCCACTCCCTTTCCAGTCTCTGCACCCCGTCCTCACCTGACCTCCTCTGTCTTCTCCCCACCCCTGCTTATGTTTCTCACCTTTCCTCCCTCCCCCCCTACCCACACCCCTCCCCCCCTTGGCCCTCGGGATAAGTGAGCAAGGGACAGCGGTCCTCACATAGCAGAACTTGTCTCTGTTCTTGTCCAAGACACAGATCATCTGAGGGGTGATGATCCGCACCAGCGAGGAGATTCTGGCTTCCTTGTGGTAGAAGTGCTCACACTTCCTGCTGTTCAGGATGGAGACTTCCTTCTCCTGAAGGGTCCGGAACTGGGGCCACGTGCCTGTGGGATGGGTCCCCATTCAGGTTTAGCCACTGGCTGTGGCCCACAGCCACCAGCTCTGTCTCTTTTGCATAGGCCACAGAGCGGCCTCCACGGCCTCCACGTCTGGGGTGTTCTCCCCTCCGTTGCCCCACACAGAGGTGGTGGAACAGACGGTCCACACTGACCTCTTGGCTCTGCTAGTCCTCTTTTAAAGTGTCTGCAAAGGCTCGGGGTGGGGGGCAAAGTCTTTCTTTTTAAAGCCATCCCTACAGCTTCTTTCTCACCAAGCTTCCCCAGACCCCTTTCCCCACCCCCACCCACCCCCACATCTTCCATCCCACCCAAAATGTGTGGGAGCTCCTGGGAGACAGGAAACTTCTGATCCCTCCGGACAGGCCTCAGAATGAGTTGTTTAGGAAAAATTAGACCCTCAAGGACACAGTGAGGCATCTCTCTTGTGTCTTGCTGGCTCTATAAGGGAGTAAATACTTCCAGAACCTGTCAGAAAAATGAGCCCTGGATGGGCACGGCAGGACACGCCTGTCTCGAGGATCTTGCTCCTACACTGGAATGACACTGGGGGCCACTGGAGGGAAAGGAGGATATGAGTGGACGTCAAGAGACTTTCAATGTGCGGGCAAAAACCGCATCTATTCTGGGCAGCATTTTGCAGACATGAGAACCCGTTTCTCTTGTACTCTACTTGTCGATACCCTAGGGTTGTATGTGGGTGACAAGCTATTGTTCCCAGACCTCCTTGCTTTCAAGAAAGTTCTATTTACATGGGCTGGCTTGGTCCTGAGACTCTCAAGGGCACTAACGGTTCCCAGGGGCTCAATTGACCATGATATGTTCACCAACAAAACCCTCAAGGGGAAGGAGACTTGAGAGACGGGGAAACAAACAAGAAAGTTGCTGGATCAGTCAGCTCCTTAAAGAAATGTCCATCCAGGGGGCAGCCCAGCCATCCTCAAGCCCTCTCTTCACACCACCCACCCTGATGGGGGTGGGGTGGGGCGGGGCTCTTACTCACCATCCACCTGGGGGTATCCCCAGCCTGTCACAACGCAGATAGAACTGTCCTCCAGCATGTATTCCAGGCCAGGCAGGCAGATGGGCCACACATATTTGCTATACTTGAGCCCCCACTGGAGTTTAAGGAGGGCAATGTCATTGTTCCGGCCCACCCAAGACCAGTATCGCCTGGGTTGGTACCCGTTGTTTATGATGATCTGATGTACCGGCACATCGGAGCTGGTTTTCGTCGTCTGGTCAATCCATGGGCTGCCCACCCTCACCGTATAGTTAACATGGTCCCTATGGGAACGGGGTGGGAGTGTCTTTGATCAGCTCTAGGCTCCTGCCTCGGCCCCTGACCCTGCCTTCCGTACCACAGTGGCCCTCCAAGCAAATCCAGGCAGGCCACCTCCTGCTTCAAGGGCCCCCTGAACCTACCCCTCATCACAGACAGAGCCCTGCACGCACTGTGCGGTCCTCATTGTGTGGAGGAGGAATGGGAGACTCAAAGTGCCCGGCCTGCTCAGGGTGCACGCCTGGGGATGGCCGAATTGGGATGTGGACCCTAGTCACACGCTCTGGGTTTTTGTGCCTATCTTGCACGTGGAGAGGTAACAGAGTCCCCGTGTAATGACCATGGCCTGGATCTCAAGCCACCTTCTATGAGATACCTCTAGAAGTCACTGTCAACCCAGAACATGCCTTCACTGGTCAGTCCTCAGGGGAAACATACATGCTACTCTCAGGAACTCCCTGGCCCCAGAACATTGGCATATCCACACAGTTTAAGTCTATCTTCTTATCTCTAGCCCACCTGAGAGGTTCTAAGTCAGGGCCCCTCTCAGCGGGAAGGTAGAAACTATTATTGACAGGATGGAGGAGAGCAATTGGAAGCAAAGAGGATGGAATGAAGGAGCTGGGGCCTTCTGAACCCTTGTTCCTCACCTAGAGAAAGACTGCACAGGACTGAAGGGTAGGGAAAAGAGAAAAAGCTGTGTACCCACTGAAGGCCGAGCCCCAGGAAAGGATATGTGAGACTCAACCCTCCCTTGCTCAGAGTGAGGGTGAGGCTGGGCTGGCTCTGTGGGCTCCACACAGGACATAGCTGCTAACTAATGGGTCACCTGGAGGAGTGACTACACCTCTGGCATTCCAAAGGTCTTTTCCACCCACCCACCTGGACCCCAACTCACTGGATCAAGCAATGGGCCACGGTCAGCACCCACTTAGAAGCAATAAGAATACCAGCACAGATGTGTGTGCCGTTAGCCCGCACACTGACCATCCATGGCCACCTCCGAGTCATGGCTTCTGGGTCCCTGAGGGTAGGGTCTGGCTCGTGGGAGTAGCCACAGACTAAAGAGGAAGAAAAAAACTTGATGAAGAATGAACTCACCCAGCCACATCTTATGGCTCTGTCCCCCCTTGCCCCTCCCTCCAGCCTCTCCAGCCACCCACCTGCACTTACCCAACCTTTTTTTATTTCTCACTATGACATGATGGCATCCACCTATGGACATCCCCAGCTCCAGAAAAGCCTCAGCACTGTCCAGATACCTATTTCTTTGTTCCTACAGCTTGGGCCCTAGAGCACCCCAATAGCCAGCCTAGGATATGACCCGGCAGACCCTTCATAAATGTATTTCTATCTGGCTCCAGATCCCTTCTCCTACTTGACCCAGTGTGGACCCCTGCCCCTTCTTTGGGAGTCCCCTCTTGGGATTCATGGAGATAAAGATAGATGACCCAACCATAAAACAGGCTGTATAAGGAAACAGGCACAACTGGAAGAAGAAATATGGCAAATGCCGAGGAAGCTTGCCTGGCCTCCTCAGGACTCGGGAGATTCTGCCTTAAGCTGTATCACATGCCTGTCTGTCAAAAGTTAAGTGTCTGTGATGCCAAATTGCTGGCGAGAATTTTAGGCCATGATTCACCTTCCTGCAGAGGGGAGTGCCAACTGCTGAGGGCACTTTGGAAAAAGTTTTGAAAACTGAAGATGGAGACTAGAGAGATGGCTCAGTTGTTAAGAGCACTGGTTGCACTGGGCAGTGGTGGGGCATGTCTTTAATCCTGGCACTTGGGAGGCAGAGGCAGGCAGATCTGAGTTTGAGGGCAGCCTGGTCTACAATGCAAGTTCCAAGACAGGCAGGGCTACACAGAGACCTGTCTCAAAAAATAAATAAACAAAACAAAACAAAAAGCACTAGCTGCTCCTCTTAAGCATAGGAATTGGTCCCAGCATGCACATGGTGGCTCACAATCATTTTAGTTTGGGGAGAGCTGGTGCCCTCTTCTGGCCTCCAGAGTACCAGGCACAAAAGCAGTGCGCATACCTGCATGCAGGCAAAACACTGGATGCATAAAAATAAAGAAAGAAAATTCCCAGTTATTTCCATTCATGAATTTTCTAAACAAACCAATGGATTTGTGAGACCAAGTAAATGGGCCTTGGCCAGCATATTTATGTATTTGTTTATATATTTACGTATTCATTTGTAGCGGCGGGGATGAAATTCAGGGCCTGGTAAATTGTACTATATCTATCGTTCTTGTGTGTGCATGTGGAGGCCAGAGGAGGAATTTGAATGTTCTCATCACTCTCTGGTATTCTCTTGATACAGGGTCTCTCACTGAACCCGAAACTAGATCGGCAGCCTCCTCAGCAAGGGACTGGGGTCCCAGCAATCTCCTGTCTCCACTCCCCACTCCGCTACCTACACTCCAGAGTGCGGGGGTTATTGGAGCATGAGACCAAACCCACTCAGCCTTTTACATAGGTTGTTCTGGGGTTTTACCTCAGGTTCTCAGGTTTGCGTGGTAGGAGGTCTTATCCCCTGAGTTACCTCGCAAGCCCACCACAACATTTAAAAATTATAGTCTCAGCCAAGAGACTATCAGCAGTACCACACATAGTACCTTGGCGTCCCCTGCTAGAATTTTCTGAGGCAGGTGAATGCCGGGATAATAACTATTTCTTCCGTGGGCCTTAACTGCAGACCGTTGCTTACTCGAAAGTATACCAAGTGCACCGGTTAGGTTTAATTGTCAACTTGACCCAGCAGAGAGTCATCCGAAAGAAAAGCCTACACCCACGAATTGTGTAAGTCAGATTGGCCTGTGGGTAATTTAGTGGGGAAGGGGGTTGTCGTGATTACTAACTGACACTGGATGGCACAAGCCTGTGTAGAGGGGCGCCAGGGTAGAGTGGCGCCATCCCTAGGCAGGCGGTCCTGGGCAATCTAAGAAAGCTAGCTAAGCATGATTCTATGAGGGAACGGGCCAGCAAGCCACCTTCCTCCAGGTTCCTGGCCTGGCTTTTTCCTCGGTGATGAACTGTGACCTGGAAGCATAAGCAAAATAAAGTCCCTACCGCCAAGTTGATTTATCACACCAACAGCAAGGAAGTTAGAATCCCAGGTGTGTCCTGAAGATACCACAAAAAGTCTCACACAGCCCTCATGGACTTGGGCTGTGAATTCCAGGCTGGGTTCCCAGAGACACGTCAAAGAAGGACTGCAGCTGCCAGAGAGGCATCTGAGTGCTTGAACACCGCACACACACACACACACCCAAACTCACCACTCCCAGCGCTGGCTTTGACTCTCTTCCCTGTACCCTGTTTACCTCACCACGCTGGAAGATTTGTAAGCCAAGGCCTAGTCCAACCTTCAGTGCTCAATAAACATTTGTACAGGGTTGTTCCCTTCCATCTACTCGGAGGGCCCTTGATCCCTCAACCCTTCGACCTCAGGGATCAAAAACTCCGTAAGAGCTCTCTGTCCGCTCCTGCCCAGTACTCACAGGGGAGGCTGGTGTGTTTCGTGCTAAGAACGGACCCGGTAATGCCCGAAGTGCGCGAAGTGCCCGAAGTAGTGCCCGAAGAAGCGCCCGAAGTGCCTGGTGGTGGCGTCGGGACCGACCCGGTAATGCCCGAAGTGTCCAAAGTGCCTGGTAGCGGAGTCGACAGAGCCTGCCGGGGATGGCGAACCCTGCCTGAGGGACTGGAGGCTCTGGAGGTACAGGGCCTTGTCCGAACTGTGGACAGCGCCCCCGGGGATTCGTCTGCAGCCAAGCAGCCTGTGGAAATTCACCGGGTCAAAGGCGGGTCAGAGGCGGCCGTGTTGGGGGGTTGGGGGCGCCGGGGAGTGGGCGTGCTCACCTGCCGGCCGCCGAGGCAGGAGCAGCAGCAGCAGCAGCAGCAGCAGAAGAAGAAGGGCACGGGTGCGGGCGCGGGAGGTCCCGGGCACGCGGAGGCCCTGAGGGCCCTGCCCACGGACCCCGGCCCAGCACCACGGCTCCATTGCGCGGCTAGGTTCCTCCACAATGGCGCCCTCCATCGGGCGCCTCAGGGCGCTTCGGTGCTCCGCCTGCGTGGCGCCCCCTGGGTGCTACTCGCTGGGACGCTCCTGCCGAAAGGCGCGCAAGTAGTCTGGCTAGTATCTTTCCTCAGTCTTGTGAGCCCTTTCTCTGGGACACTTTGCCTCAGCTCAGCTGGTTTCTAAGCTTCCGAGCTATCTCCGCCAGCAGCAGCAGCGAGAGGAAGGCCAACCCGACCTGTCAATTCCCCTACACCCCTCTGCTGGCATCCGTTCCTTCCCCGTGAGCGCTAACCTCACAAGACATTGTACCAGGGCACTGAGGCAAAGTAATGTGTTCATTAAGGCCTCACTATGGAGCCCAGCCTGGTCTCAGATTCACAACGATTCTGCCTTGACCCCCAAGTGCTGGGATGATAGGTGTGAGCCCCTAAGCTAGGCTTCAATAACAGCTTTTAAAGGCTTACTGAGGACAGAGGGCTATAAGGGAGATGTGATGATATCCATTGGTCAGCAGTGAGAGCAGGTCACTGTGTTCGACCATTCGGGGAACATATTAATGGTTCGGCAATATAATTAATACATTTAAAAAGTAATGGAGAATACTAATGGTACTGTTGGGGCAAGGATATTAATTTTTTTATCCTAATAGACAAAGTGAAAGGAGGAACAAGTTGGAACATTCTTACTTTTGTCAAGGCCTATGCCCTTGGGAGAAACACCTCTGAGCCATCTCTCCAGCCCCGAGAAAAGATATTCTCAGAGACACAGAGAAGGGGCCTTGGGAGCCACTGAACTGCTGTTCACAGAACAGAGATTTCAAGTTCCAGTCAGCAAAACGGAAACTACAGGCTGGAGAAATGGCCCAGGAGTTAAAAGTGTGTACCACTCTTTCAGAGGACCTAGTTCAATTCCCTGTAGCCACACCAGTTGGCTCCCAACCTCTTGCAACTCCAGCTATAGGGGAAATATGACCCTTGCCTCCATGAGCATCTATACCCTTGTGGACAAACAGACACATGAAAGCAATCTTTTTTTTTTTTTTTTTTAAAGAGGAAACTACAAGGGAAACAAAGGAACACCCTCCCAAGATCACACAACACTTATAACAGACAAGGAGTAAGACTATCAGAGAAGACTCAACTTGAGAAACAACCAGGCTTTATGAGGGGGTATTTTAAAGGGCTTTGGGTCAAAGTCAAGAATGTGAAAACTTCAGGTGGCTCAAAAGGTTCAAGAGCATCTTCATTGAACAACTAGGAACAAAACCCACAGTGGGTCTAGGACCCTTCCCCAAAGTCCCTCTGTCCTGAAGTCCTGTTCAGCCTCTGGTGTCCACTTCTTCTGAGGGTGGAGCAGAGAGGAGGGAGAAGTAGCCTCTGGGAATGACTGTTCTGGAAACACAGCTCACAAGAGCCACAGGGAGCCCAAGGATACCAGCAGAATGTAGCCAGTGAGGATCAGCGGGCTCAGGAAGGGAGGGACAGCCATACTGGTGAATCTCATGTCACTGATTTGTCTCTTGATCCAGTGGGTGAAGTGGGAGGTGCTGGTGTAGATGCTTGGGAATTGGCGACCGCCACAGCCAAAGTTCCAGCTCACCACTCCCATCTGGATCCAGGTGTTGTTTATCTGGCAAACCAGGGAGCTGCCGGAGGTATCCTGCAGGGGAGAGTAAGGAAGGCTTCAAGCAGCAGCGGCAGTATTTGCTAGATTAGGTTTTTGTTGGCCTCAAGGATGAGACCTGGCTACAAGCCTGTTCTGTGGCACACAAAATCCATACTAAGGTTCAAGCGTGAGACCACATTGGCCTCTTCGCTATTTGGCTACCTCTCTGTTAAGCCCTCCTAAAGCCCAGGTGGGCCTCCAAGGTACAACTGTTGATCTTTGCCACAGTCTTGCTTACAGAGGGAGATCAGCTCTCCCACTTGAGTGCACAGACAGGCAAATGCTGAAGAATGACATTTACACTATCATACATCAAAAGGCAACAAGAGCTTCCTTAAAAAATTTTTTTAAAATTTTTTTTAGACACTTGCATTGTCATCCAGTGATAAAGCATTCAGCTAGGATGCATGCAACCCTGGGTTCTATCTCTGACAAAAAGAAAAGGGGCTGTGTGTATGTCTATCTATATTCCTCCATGACATTTGAAACTTTTATGAACCAGGAAAGAGTTCAATTCAATATATAAATATCAAAAGATTCCCAGGGCATGATGATCTAGGTGCACATAAGACAATTAAGGAAAATATGATAAAGTTCTGCCTAAGGACATGAAAGGAGACCTTCTCTAGTGCACTGAAACACATTTTAAAGAGAAGCTTTAATGGAGCAGGGTACCGGTGGTGCATGCCTTTAGTCCCAGCACTCAGAATGCAGAGGCAGGTAGACTTCTGAGTCTGAGACCAGCCTGGTTTACAGAGTGAGTTCCAGGACAGCCAAGGCTGCACAGAGAAACCCTGTATTGGAAAACCAAAAGAAGAAGCAGCAGCTTTAATGAGCTGTAGAGATGGCTCCTAGGTTAATAAGCATGTACTGCTCTTCCAGAGGACCCAAGTTTCCCCAGAACCCAAAATGGGTATCCCTAACTACATAGCTCCCAGGGATTGGCACCTCTGGCCTCTATGGGCACCTACCTGCATATGGACTAAGCCACACCTAGACCACACACACATACATAATTAAAAATAAAAATGAAATCTTTTTCAAAAAGAAACTTCAAAATCCACAATCCTGGAAAGGAATATGTCCCATCTAATTACATCTAAATAGAGCATGCAGGAAGTAAAGGACACCAAATATTGTTGAAAATAGATAATAAATCAAGATGGGACATTTAGGGAGAGGGGTGTAACCCAGTTGGCAGAATGTTCGTCGAAGATGCACAAGGACCTGGCTGTGATCCCGAGAATCACGTGAACTGGACAGGGTGGCATCCTCATAATCCTAGCTCTCAGTCAGAAGCAGAAAGATCAGATGTTCAATGTCATCCTTAAGTATGTCAATGTCATCCTTAACATAGAGTTTGAGTCTGGCTAGTCTGGGCTACATGGATCCTCTTCTTAAACAAACAGGCATTAAGAAAACAAACAAATAAAAAACAAACAAACAAACAAAAAACACTTCCAAAGAAGAATATGAGGTGATCTGGATACATAGGACAACATTGTTTATATAAAATAAAATATTTAATAGCACTAAGTATTTTTTGGAGACAAACATCTTTAAGGACATGCATTAAACAGATAGGAGGAGACAGATGCCTAAAACGGAAAAACCAAGCCTGCCGTAGTGAAGCCAGCAAATGTATATTGGAGTCCTGCTAGAGATTTAGAGGAAGCAAGAGCACATGGAAAGACACACTAGGGGACAGACAGACAGACATCTTTTGTATGTGAACACTTTCTTTTCACCCAAGAATAAAACTGTAACTCAGCAACACATACTTTTTCAATGGAAAAAAAAGTTAACCTTCAAAAATGTTACAGTGGAAACAGAATTTAAATCTATACTTAAATGTAGAAGCATGGGATCCTGCAAAGATCATATGATGTGGCCTAAACATCGCAAATTTTAGTTAGAGACCACATTAAGTTTTAGCACCAAAGAAGGAAAATAAATTATTCACTGGTATCAACAGTCATTTGTCACTGAACATTAGGCTCAAAATACTTAAGAAAGGAATTACTAAGAATAATCCATGTATTAGAAAGCAAAGGACCAGCACTCAGAGAGGCGGAGGCAGGCAGATCTCTGTGAGTTCAAGGCCAGCCTGATCTACAAAGCAAGTCCAGGGCAGCCAAGGCTACACAGAGAAACCCTGTCTCCCTGTCTCAAAAAAAAAAAAAAAAAAAAGCAAGCAAGCAAATGAATTGTTATCTTGTAAAATGATGCTGAGGTATGATGGTGGTGATGGTCTGAGTAAGAATAGAGAAGAAAATCTGTACCCAGAGAAAAATGTTTTCTCCCAGAACGTTAAGAAGCAGTGCTGACGCTGACAGAATGAAACCATTTCTGCAAAACTGCATGCCAGCGCCTGACCCAGATCTGCAGGCATGCTCAGGAGCACTAAGACGGCTTACAGAACTGGGCCTGGGTGGGTGGTAGGATTTTAATACCACCACTACAGCATGCAAGAGTTCAAGGCAAGTCTGCCTGGCTAAATGGTGAGTTCCAGGCCAGGCAGGCTGCTTAGTGAGAGCTGCTTTAAAAACTAAAAATAAAACAAACAAACAAACAAACAAAAAACATAAAGAACTGTCCATGGGCAGGAACAAAAAAAAAAAAAAAAATCACCCCTGTAGTGGTTTGAATGAGAATGCCCCACCCACCGCCCACAAGCTCATGTTTGAATACTTCCTTTGGAAGGGTTAGGAGATGTGGCCTAGTTGGAGGAAGTATGTTACACAGAGCAGGTATTGAGGCTTCAAAAGCCTCCTACCATCCTCTGTTTCCTGTCTGGGATTCCAGATGTGAATGCTCAGTAGCTGTTCCAAAGACAGGCCCACCTGCGTACTGCCATGCTCCGTGCTGTGATATGGTGATGGACTATCAGTTCTTCTAGAACCGCAAATAAACTCTTTGCTGAGTGGCCCTAGTCATGGCGTTTCAGATTAGTAACAGATAACTAATACAACTCTTCCCCGCCCCCCATATTGGAAAATAGGAGCTCAGACTTTTGTACTGAGTCTTTGGTGGCCACATTTAAAGGAAAGTTAAGCCAAGAACTGAGGATGGAACATGCCTTTAACCCCTGAAAGACACCTGGAAGACAGAGGCAGGTGGATCTCTGTGAGTTTGAGGCCAGCCTGGTCTACACAGTGAGTTCCAGTGCTATGTAGAGAGACCTCGCCTCTGTATGACCCCCATAGTGCCTGCTCGCCCAGCCGCCTGCACATTCCACACCTGACAAGTGTCCAGGCCCCATTCTGAGCTCGTACACAGCATGTCATTCCCAATGAAGGTCTTCTGGCTCTTTGTCAGGAGGAACTGGTACCGATGATTGCAGATCTCGTTGTTCATGATCCTGACAGCCAAGCCCTGGAGACTGTAAGGACCCTTTGAGGACTCTGTGAAGAGAAAGATCCAGTCATGGCCTCAACTTTGGAACCTATTTCCAACCCAGAGTCATTCACATTTGTGCACACGAGAGGCAGGGTCTTCTGAGCTGTCCGTTCATAAAAGCTGAAGTTTGCAGCCTGACTTTCAGAAGTGTCCCCACTCATTAAAAACTGAGGATGGCACACTCCCTTAATCCCAGGGAAGGCGGATCTTTGTGAGTTTGAGGCTAGCCTGACCTACATAGTGAGTTGCAGGACAGCCAGGGCTATGTAGAGACCCTGCCTAAAAAACAGACAAACAAACAAACAAGAAAAAAAAAAACTAAAATTAAAAAAAAAAAAAAAGTTAAGCAAAGTCTCTCAAAGGGCTATGCTCCTGGGAAAGGTGGCAAAACCCTAGAGGGGTTCTGCAGAAAGGTTGGCAGGACTCCAGATAACACCAAAAGGGCTGCATCTCTAAGAATTATGGGTACATACTGGCTAGAGAGGCCACGTCAATGCCTCATCATAGCTGCTGACACAGACCCCGGATGAACAGCCAGAGTTATCATTTCCTACTGTGCTGCAGGCTAAGGATCTGGTGTGGGATCTAACTTGACTTTGGGGATTGGTGGGGTGGCTTAGCAATTACATCAAGCTTGGTGACCTGAGCTTCATTCCTCAGGACCCGTCTGGTTGAAAGAGAGAACCAACTCCTTGAAGGTTGTCCTCTGACCTTCAAGTATATGCTGTGGTATTTGTACACCCCCACACACACAGACAGACAGACAGACAAGACGACTGACAGACAGACAGATAGGTAATTTTCATTTCCTACTGTGCTGCGGGCTAAGGATCTGGTGTGGGCTCTAACTTGACTTTGGGGTTTGGAGGCCGAGGTCCTCAAAGGCCACTTGTTTTGTTTCTCTTATATGCAAACACTGTGTATATCTTTGGGCTCGGGAGAAGCTTGCAGAGTGACAGAGTAAATGAAGTGAATGAGTGACCCCATGACAGTGTTCTGCAGAGACAGGTGTCTTGAGACATCTGCTCCACAGCACTCACCTTTAGTCTTGTCTTGTCCCCACCCGATGACCCAGCACATGGTGCCAACAGTTGGCTTGAAATTGCTGGTGGGGAGACAGACCGGCTGGACAAGAGGGGACCAGGAGAGAGGGTACTTGAGCTTCAGGATGGCAATGTCCTGAGACATTTGATTGTTGAAGTTCTCGTGAATCATGATGCTATTGACTAGGAGTGCTGAGGTGCTGTTGTCTGGGAGGTGCTGGACTCCCACCTTCACAGTGTAGTTGGCCGGGTTCTTGGATCTGCAGGCCCAGAGAAGACACGGATCACCAGGCGTAAGGCCGTGAATAACCAGAGAGAGCGGGTTCTAAGAACTAGGCTGCCTGGGGTAATGTCCTCCACTCCTAGACCCCCAGATTCATCAGGAAACCCCTGCCCCCAGGCCTGAAAGCAAAGATCCCAGACCAAAATGCCCCCAGGCTGACCTTTGTAAGCAGTGCGCAGCTGTGAGAATCCATTGGTGGTGGATGATGGAACCACTGCAGACATATATTCCCAGAAAAAGGATGCTTACCTGCCATGGCCACTGCCCCACCTCCACCATCTTTCCATTTACCATCTTGCAAGTTATATTAGTCTGACCACAGGACCAGAACCAGGGCGCTGAGGAGAGAGGTGAAGAAAGGAATGCAAAGGGTTAGGGTAGCCATGGTAGACTGCATCTTTCAGCTGTGTCCCGAGTAGCCACTGCCGTCTGCTAAAGTTGGGAAGGACTGAAGCTACCACCTCACAACTGGCAAGCGCAGACCCAGGGGCAGCAGGCAGCCCCGTTATAAACAAAGCCCCCCCCTGACAACAGAGACCAGACAACTTATCTGACACCTTTTATGGTTATGAGCAAATACCCCAGAGGCCATTCCTGCCCATAGTATGTACATATGACTCAGGGAGGAAGAGGAGGAGAGAATCACTAGAGGGTGAGAGAGTCAGTGGAGGCAAGTGATGGGGCCTAGTGTTCAGGACTCCCGTTGGTTGTATGTAAAAATACATGCATAGTAACTTTTTTTCTTTTTGTTTTTTTTGAGACAGGGTTTCTCTGTGTAGCCCTGGCTGTTCTAGAACTCACTCTGTTGACCAAGGTGACCTCAAATTCAGAGGTCTGCCTGCTTCTGCCTCCCAAGTGCTGGGATTAAAGGTGGGCAGTGAGTGCACCACTGCCCGGCTTCAGCTTCTTCCTTCTTTCTCGTTCTTCTTTTCTTTCTTTTTTTTTTCTTTTTACAGTGATGTTTTATTGTACAATTATAGCCGACAGCCATAGCGCCTACCCAGGAGACAGAGAAGCTTGACCTCAAGAACAGGGAGAAGAGAGTAGGAGCTTGCACTGGACTGGAGATGAGATTGAGATTTTATTTCATTTTGTTTTGCTTTTTTATCAGTTTGTTCTAATTTATGCATATGGTGTTTTGCTTGTATGTATGTAGCCCAGGCTAGCCAGCCAAAATAACCACAGGTGATTATGTAACCCTGATCTTCCTTTCTCTATGTCCCAAGTGCTGGGATTACAGATGTGTGTCATCGTTCCCAGTGAGAATGAGGTTTTGTCGTTGTTGCTTTAAGTGGAACGAGCCTGGACTGGAATTTAATAATAATTCTTTATGAGGATTTCAAAACCAATAACTGAATAGTACAAAGGAGAAGAAAGGGACTAATTATTCTGTAAGTGAGGGTTACAGAACAAGATTATAGAAACATGAGCTGGGTGTGGTAATGCACACCTTTAATCCCAGCACTTGGGAGGCAAAGGTGAGCAGACCTCTGTGAGTTCGAGGCCAGCTGAGGCTACATAGTGAACCCTTGTCAAGATGAGAAGGAGGGGTTTCTGGTATGGTCTTCTGCGTGCCTCAGCTGTCGAATGAGCAATCACATGTGGTCCCTGAGCTCCTCAGACAGGTGGAAGTGGAACTATTTTCCACCATCACAAGCTATAGAGTCTATTTCCATCAGCAGAATACCATGCAGCATAGAGCAGTGTTAGGACCTAACAGTGACAGCCAAGGTGGGTCTGGGGACTGTGGCAGGAATGGTGGGGGGGGGGGTAATAAATAGCACTAATATCTAGGATAAACTGTATTCATTAGCAGAAACGTCAACAAGATCCTACCTGGTTGAAGACATTATGGTGTGGAAGTAATTTGAGCTCCCCTCCGTAGGTCCTCAGGGAGGGAATGATACAGGGGGGTATTTAGACCTTTAAGAGGTGGGGCTTAGGGTTGGGGAGATTGCTCCATGAGTAAGGTGTGGTTGTGCAAGCGTGAAGACTTAAGTTTGGATTCACAGCCAGATGAGGCAGTGGACACCTGTAACCCCAGCGCTCGGAGGCAGGGACAGGTAGATTCTAGGGCCTCTCCTGGCTGCCAGTCTGACTGATGCGGTGAGTTCCGAGTTCAATGAAAGACCTTGTCTCAAAAAAGAATGGTGGGGAAGTGCCTGAGAAAAACGTCTTGTTGTCATCCTCCAGCCTACACGTGCTCACATTGGTGAGCATGCTCAAACACACATGCACACACAGAGGAGGACACATGTTCTCAGAGGAGACTAGGACCCCCCGCAGCCTCCCTCTGTTTCCTGACTTCACGTAAGTAGTCACTCTCAGGACAGGTGGTTGCTATCTTCACTGGAAGTTCCTTCTCACATCCCGACCTTCAGCCCACGTGACAAATCTTTAGACTTTGAATTTTGAAAACTGCCAACTAAATATAGCTTTCTATTTTATTTTCTTGTAACGACACAAAACTAGTGCAAAGACCGTCGTGTTTGAGTTTGTTCACGCTGTGTGTCCCTAGCTCCTGCAATTGTCCGAGGTAAGTGGCCTGCTCCCTTGCCATAGACTCCTGTGGACAAAATGCTTCTACTTTCAACTCCTGGCCTTCCACAGGGATCCAGAGACACTGCACAAACCCCCAGGTCTCCAGAGTACTGCCTTACTTTCTCACCGCTCCGCTCATGTCTAGGTCCCATCTCCATGCCTGTCTCCTATTTCTTTAATCCCCACCCCAACCCCAGAGAGCCGCATTCCTGGACTTTCTCACACACCATGGTGAGTCATAGCCATCTTTTGTCGGCTTCTGTTTCTTCTTTATGGCCACTGGCGGTGGGGGGGGGGGGGAAGGGTGGTTCATGAGAATGGCCCCATAGGCTCATATATTTGAATGCTTTTCCATAGTTGGTAACTGTTTGAGAAGGATTAGGAGGTGTGGCCTTGTTGGAGGAAGTGTGTCACTGGAGGTGAGCTTTGATGTTTCAAAAGCCCACACCAGACCCAGTCTCTGCCTGCAACTCAAGGACCAAGTGTGAGCTCTAAGCGACTGCCCCAGCACCATGCCTGCCTGCCCATGGCTATGTCCAACCTTGATGGTCATAGACTAACCCTCTGAAACTGTAAGCAAGTCCTCAGTTAAATGCTTCCTTTTATAAGTTGCCTTGGTCATGGTGTTTCATCACAGCAGTAGAACAGTGACTAGGACCTTTTTTGTTTCTGATTCCCAACCAAGATTGTTCAGTGCTGGCGGTCAGGAGGGGGCTTAAGAAGTTTCTTCTTTCTCTTCCCATAAGGCTGCAAGCCCAGAGAGAGACAAGGTTCTGCAGAAAGAGCTCACCATGCCCACAGTGACAACTCTGGGGCCGAGGCTAGCCCCCTCCTCAGTGTTCCCCACCCTCTGTAAGATCCCTGGGTCTCAAAGAACAGCTCTTTCTGGATCTTGTGTCCAAGGCAGCACTGACCCCAGCCTTCCTCTAAACCCTACACAGGACCATGGGATTCAGTCTGGAGAGGCCAACGTCAAGAACCAGCACCAAGTGGGTTGTTTTAAATATTTCTATTTTTTCTTACTCTGTATATGTGTGTGTCTGTGTGTATGTCTATGTGTAGGTATGTGCTTCTGAATGCAGGTGTAGGATCCTATGGAGCTAGATTTATAGGCAGATGTGAGCTACCTCAGATGTGGGTGCTGGAAATCAAACTTGGGTCCAGCCATGATGAGTGATTTGGGGGTACAGTGTGCTGGGGATCAACCCAGTCCCAGGCGCGATGTCACCCTTCCACCTGTAGCCTACATTCGGGGATTCAAACGGATTCCTCTTCAGACCTCAGCACTCTTTCTTGAAGTTCTAGAAGCTAGGCACCCCCACCGAGAAACGGGATCCCAATGCCTCTTTCCTGCGTTCATGGGTGGCCACAGGAAAGATGAGTCCTGGCTTTGTGGAAGCCATTCCTGTGAGGTCAGAGCTGACTCCTCAGAGGCAAAGCAGTCAGCTCCCAGGCCTGAGCCTAAAGCTGCGCATACCCTAACCACCCCCAAAGCTTCACTAACGTTTGATGGGAGTACAGTGAGGTTCAGGGTAGAAATTCACTTGCTCGTTCAGTCCCTCATTCAACAAGGCACTTGTCCAGGAGACAGGCTGTCACTCCGGGATAGAAGACACTACCCAGGCTGGGGGTTATGTGCCCCATTCCCACTTACCACTCCAGCTGGCTCCCTGTCAGACACAAAATGTACAGCCAGCAGGTGACTCAGGGTAGGGCTCCTACTAGGAAAACTACCTTTCTCAGGAAGAGCCTGGATATACTCTGCCACCCAGATATTTTCAACCCCAAAGCATCTATTGGAAACTGTTCTTGAGGCCTGGTTCTACTGCTCACAAACCACTAAAGCTGGACCTGGTTTCCTGTGTGAAACAGAGGCCCCACCATACAGCACTGAGGTATACATTGTCTCACCAGGGAACTGATGTAGGGTGAGGGGACATTCAGACAGCACAGCCATTGTCACAGCCCCCGAGACTCCCAGACAAGTTCATCCATTCCATGGATGTTAGTCTGTTCTGTGCTTTTCTTCCTCCATCTGTTTGTGGTCACCCTGAAAACCGAAGCTGGCCCCACCATGTGTGGGTCATATGGGTCACCCCCTAAGTCTCCTGAGAATCTACCCATCTCAGTACTGACTTGTGGAGGCCCTGCAGGCATGAGAACAGCCGATGTAGACCCCAGGCTGTCTGATCTCCTGGCCTCTCTCCATGTCCTACCTTCATCATATGGCAGACTGTCCAACCGGGCAGAAAGAACTGATGACGGGAGAAGACCGTGAGGATCCACAGATCCACACGCCATGGTAAGGACCACTCAGCCCTTGTTGCTCCTTAGAACAAGATGGGCGTCTCCATGGTGCGTGGATTCTAGAACTCCGTCGTTCAGGGACGCAGAGAGCCGGTGTCTGCTCGAAGGCAGGGGCTGGGCCTGCTGAAGCAGCCTCAGGGGTCAGCCACAGCCATGAAGGGAGGATGTCGGAGACCTCCCTGGAACAGTGTTTTGGGGCCTCAGCACTGAGCCTGTGGCCATGTCTGGTCCATTACAGTGTCCCCTGAGGCCAGCTCTCAGCAATGCCCTTGATGACGTTCTCATGCCTAGCTCTGAGCCTGAGACCTTGTCCTTTGTCTGCTCCTGATAGTACCAAGTGTATGGTTTGTGACAGTGCCTTGCGGTCAGCCCCTGAAACTCCCATAGTGCTCTCCTCAGCCTCCTCTGATGAGCCCCTAGAGGTATGGAAACCGAGACAGGACTCCTTTGCATAGGGACTGCTACGTGACTGGAGAGTTCTGTTTTTCCCTTAGGGGCCGTGTTTTTAAAAGACAGAGGTCCTGGGGAGGGTGGGGAGTGGGGGCTCTCTGTGAGGCTGCTGGGGAAGCTTGCGAGCTTGAGTCTTCAACAGAATTCATGGTGTTAGGGACACCTCCCCCCCTTCACTTGAGGTACCTTCTTCCTCAGAGGCTCCATTACTGCACCCCACCAGTGCTGCTGAGGCACAAAGTGACACACTTTTTGCCCGCTGCTGAGGGAGTGATCATTGTCAAGAACAATGTAGTGAAGTAGATGTATGGAAGCCACAATCCAAGCTTCACCCCTAGAAACAGGGCAGAGGACAAGACTTCGTAGGAGGCTGTGGGGAAGGCTCCAGGAGCGCTGCCCACCGGCTGCCTCAGAGAATGCATGCCCGATAGCTCACTGGCACCGAGCAGTCTACGGCTGCATGTGGTTCTGTGGAAAATCCCATAAGCACACTCAAGGACAGGACTCCGGAAATGGAAGTGCACCTGCTGGGTGGTATTCAGAGACAAGCAAATAAAACTGTTTTCTTAGGGGTGTGTGGTAGAAAATGCAGGAAATGGTGACTCCTACAGTTGGATGCCCTCAACACAGCAGAAGTGGAGAACTCTAAAAAAGACAAACTCTCTGCCTCTGTGAAAAATAATACTTTCTCTTAAGAAGGATTTATTTTGTGTCTCTGCCTGAAAGAAAAAAATTATACACACACACACACACACACACACACACGCACACGCACACGCACACGCACACGCACACCACGTGTTCAGTACCCACAGAGGCCAGAAGAGGGCCACTGAACGGACTGCCCCACAGGAGCTACCAAGAGGGTGCACAGAATGAAACGCCGCTCCTCTGCAGCAGCAGCTAGTGCTCTTAACTGCTGAGCCATCTCTCCAGCCCCATCTTTCAAAACACTTCCTTCTGGAAAGGAAGAGGGCATTTGAGCAATACAAGGACAATAAAATAAAAACCAAGCACTTTTGTAAACAAGTAATGAAAATACAAAATTCTATTTCATGAAAAAATTATTATGCATGTATGGGTAGTTTTGCCCGCATGTGTGTCTGTCTTCCTGGTACCCAGGGAGGCCAGAGAGGGTGTCATATCCCCTGGAGCAGGAACTACAGATGGCTGTTAGCTGCCGCAGGGGTGCAGGATTTGATAGTGAATCTATCTGGTGCTATTTGTTCTCTTACTTGGGAGACCTAGCTGAGAGGACTCTGCTTGGCCTGGGACCCTCTACAGGAAGTCCATCTGACTGCCCCAACAGCACTTCCCTAGTCAATTTCTGCTGGGTGTGTTTAACACCTGACTCAGTGGTACTTTCTATCTATCTATCTATCTATCTATCTATCTATCTATCTATCATCTGTTTGTACGTATCTATCATCAACTACCTATCTATCATCTATCAGTTATCTATCATCCAACTATCTACCTATCAGTTACTATTTATTCTTTTAGTTTTATTCTTTTAGTTTCTCCTGTTATACACTTAATAAACTCACTCATTCAAAACCCAAAATGTGGCTGTCCCAGATCATTTTTCAAACCATACAAAACAGAACTCTAAGAGGAAACAGACAAACCTTTATTTGGGGGTAAGACTCTCAGAAATCCAGACTGTGCAGGTATAAACTATCTGAGGTGTTGACAAGATTTGATGAACACAGTTGACAAGCAGGAAATGATTAGCTGTAGCTCAAACTTCGTTCAACAAGTATTTTCAATTCAAATGCATAAAACCCTCAGATTGGGCAATCATGCCTTTGCTGTTTTGAAGCTCTCTACAGTGGGCATGTCATACTCCCACAATCAGTTTAGAGGGAAGAAAGAGAGAAAGAAGAAGGAAGGGAGGGAGGGAGAAAGAGGGAAGAATGAAGGAAGAAGAAAAGAGTAGGTAAGGAAGAAGGAAGGAGGTAGGAAGGAAAGAAGGAAAGGATGGAGGGATGGAGAAATGAAAGGAGGGAGGGAAGGAAGGAAGCTGGCTAGACAGCTGAGTCTGAAATTCCAGCTATTGGTCCACAAGGCATATTTCAACTGTTCCCCGATGCTGTGACCTCTATACAGGTGAGGAAACTGAGACCACAAGCCCAGGCCCTTATTCCTATGTCCCAGTGCTAGAAACATAGTAGAAGCCATGAACCCCCAAACTAGGTGGGCCTACCTCTCATCTACTCCACCCCCCAGAATCACCCCCAAAGAACACGGGAGAAAAAAAGAGAAAGAGCCAGTTCTTGTGCACACAAAATTGATCTCTGCTCTTGGTCTTAAATTCTAGAATGTTGCTTCTGTGTTATACTTCCCTTGTCCTGGTCACACAAGGCCTACCACACCCCTCCCTGCTCTGAGGCCAAAGCAGGACCCACGTTCTCCGGGGACCACTCTATTTTCACCCTGACTCCTGTGGAGTATGGACATGCAACCTTGCTCAGTCATCTACTGGTGCCATTCAGAAGAGGCAAAGCAGGAAGAGATGGGGTGGAGAAATCAGAGGCCTATGGGGAGCTGCAGCAGCCAGGACAGGAACAGAAGCCAGGAGGCCCTGCAGGGCCCCAACAGCACCCCATGGTTCACTTGCTTCTGGATCCAGTTGGTATATTTGGTGAGGAGAGTGTATACACCTGGATTCTGTGGTTTGATGCAGGCCTCCTCCAGTGATGACACCCCAGCCAGAATCCATCTGCCATCAACTTCACAAGCCAGTGGCCCTCCAGGGTCCCCCTAGACAAAGAGAAAGGAGTGACGGAGGTCCTGCTAAGACCTACAACAGCCCCCTTCTCTGTTCTGCTTGAAGGAATCACTTCTCCAGGAGCTCACTAGCTCGGGCCCCTTCTGGCTTCTCAGTTGGAGACCACACCTGTGAATCGCAGCCAATGGCAGTCATGGAGAAAGGATGGCAAGAGCAGAGCCTGGTCTTGGCAACAAGAGACCAAGCCCCAGGGAACAGGCCCCCAGCCCAGGACTCACCCCCAGAAAGAGAGGTGCCGGAAGCCTCCAGACACTCACATAGCACAAGTTCTCTCCATTACTGGTGGCACAGATCATGTTCCTCTGGATAAGGGGGAGAACTGGGGGGTAGAGAGACTTCTTGTGGAAAACACGGTCACACCTCTTGCTGTCGATAATGAATACCTTGACCTCATGAAGCACTGGAGTCAGTGTCCTGTTGCCTGAAGGGAGCATGGAGGATAAGCTGTGACTAGAGCTTCATCTCAGGATCCTTTGACAAGTTCTTTGCCTTGCTTGATTTTCTTGTTTTGTTTTTTTTTTGTTTTGTTTTGTTTTTTTTGTTTGTTTGTTTGTTTTGTTTTGTTTTTTAAACAGTCTCATGCAGCCCAGGCTGGTATCAAAATCATTTAGCTGAGGCTGGCTTTGAACTCAACAGTTCCTGGGTTCACCACCCTAATGCTGGGATCACAGGTGGCATTCATCAATAATCAACATGCCTGGCTTTTTTTGACACTTTCTTTGTCAGCCTCCATACCACCCACCCCAATGTCCTGCTCTGTGACTTCCTTTCAGGCAGAGCATGCATTCCAATTCAAGGGCTCGAATATGGCAGCTGTTTCAGTTGTGTGTGTGTGTGAGGGGGGTACTTGATGACCTCCTACCTCCTGAGTTTCTCTTAGGCGGCAGCTGATCGTGCCCACAGCCCAAGCAGTGTTGGCTTGACTGCGGTGCCTGTGTGAACTGTGACAACGAACCCCATATGAGGAGGGCCTAACATACTCCAAACCACAGGCTAGAGACCACGGCCAGAGCCTCCTCAAAGGCAGCCCAAGGGATGGGGCGATGAAGGCCCAAGGGGGCACTCCCCAACCCGGTCCAACTCACCGGAGGAGTGCTGCTTACCCTGGCCCCAGCCAGTCACCCAGCACTGTGTCTCGACCTCCAAACTGAAGCTCTGCTCCGGGAGGCAGATGGGGTGCACGTACTTGCTGAAGGTGACCGGAGCGTCGAGACGGAGAAGGGCCAAGTCGTTTCTGATGAAGTTCCGGCCCCAGTACTTGGGGTGCACAATGATGTCCCTCACGGGAATCTTCAGGGCCCCAGGGGAGCTAGCTGGCTGGAGCTTTCTGCTGCCCAGCAGCACTGAGTATTCCTTGTTGCTGCAGGAGGTACAGAGGCTCACCTGACAGACATCAGTTCCCCCGAACAGCTACACACCTGCCTCCTCCCAGGACCCTTTCCTGGGAGCCCTGGCCGACATGCTCTGTGCACTCAGTCTGGCTCAGCCCAGCCCTGGAGTGTACAAGGTCAAAGACATACCAGCCCTTTCATTCACGGTCACATTGGGTCAAGGTGTGGGGGTGTCGGTGCGCATAAATATTCTCCTAGGGTGAGGGTCTGGGTCTTCCTGTTGCCCAGCTTAGGATACAGTGTCTATTGTTTGGGACTCCACCCCAATTTAGTCCAAGGAGCTTGTGAGACCCTAAGACAGCCTCTTCCCACTCTTCCTTGTTCCCTCCTGCACTGTCTCCCAGACGTCCCGAGGAGCCGGACTGCACCCGAGGCAGCTCCGAGTCTTTAGAGCCCGGATACAGATACACAGATCCCACTCACCCCTGGATGCAATGCGCTGCAGATACCACCCAGCTGCCGTCAATGAGGGCCCCTCCACACACGTGCTCATTTTCCATGCGCACGCTCACTTCCCAGGGCCAGTGATGCATCGTCTCCAATTTGTCTAGCCACCAGGGTATGCCACAAACTTCAGCACAAGCGTTGTGGAGAGAGCAGCGTTCACAGAGAGGAAAACAAGAGGAACAAGTCACCCTCAGGGGTCAGGATGCCAAGGCTATGACATCAGGGATTTGCCTACTGGTCTACTAGTCAGGGTTTATGAATGAAAGATGAATGAATGAATGAATGAATGAATGAATGAATGAATGAATGAATGAATGAACGAACATAGGTGCAGAGATTCTAAACAAAATACAATGTGCTGTGAGGGTGTGGGGGTGCATGCCTTTAATCTCAGCACTTAGGAGGCAGAGGCAGGAAGGAGTCCCCGGACAGCCAAGGCTATGTAGAGAGATCCTGTCTCCAGTAAACAAATAAGATAATAAAAATTAAATCAAAAAATAAAGAAGAGGAAGAAAATCTCGAAACATATTTACAAAAGGGACGAGTGGATACCAGGCAAAAGCATGACAAAGCAACTTTCTAAACATGTTTGAAAGTGTCCTAACAAAGCTGACTGTAAGGCACACGCTTGCAATCCCAGCACTTTCGGAGGCAGAGGCAGGTGGATCTCTATGAGTTTGAGGCCAGTCTTGTCTACAAAGTGAGTCCAGGACAGCCAGGGCTTGTTGCGCACAGAAACCCTGTCTTGAAAAACAGAAACAAAAACCACAAACAAAAACCTGATTATACACTAAAAATTTAGCAAGGAGCTGGTGAGTCTGCACAACAGTTGAGAGCAACTTCTGCTCTCCCAGAGACCCAGGTTCGGTTCTCAGAACTAACATGCTGAGTCACAATCACCTGTAACTCTAGTTCCAGGAGATTTGGCACTCTCTTCTGACACAAGCACACACATACACACAGACAAACTCTGTTGCACATAAAATAAAAAATAACAGAAAAACCCTAAAAAAAACATGTATCAAATATTCTTTTTAATTAATTTATGTATTTTATGTGCATTGGAGTTTTCTCTGCATTGTGTCTGTGTGAGGCTGTCAGATCCCCTGGGACTGGAATTACAGAGAGCTGTGAGCTGCCATGTGGGTTCTGGGAATTGAACTTGGGTCCTCTGGAAGAGCAGACAGTGCTTTAACTGCCGAGCCATCTCTCCAGCCTCAACAAAAACAAACCCATGTCAAAACGACAACAACAGAAATTCTTTAGGGGCCCTGAAGTGTGAAGCATAAAGACCTGCGTTCAGTCTCCAGCACGGAGTACAGCCAGACTTGGTGGTACATGCGTACTTGTAATTCCAGCTGGGAAGGAAGGAGAGGCAGATCCCTGATGCTCACTAGACAGTCTGTCCTGAGCAGTGACCTCCCGAACGGCCAGAGGCAAAGCAGGCAGAGCATGAGCAACGACACCCGAGCGTGGCTCGGTCTCCACACACCTTTGCACACGCTCTCACATACAGGCGCCTGTGCATGCGCGCGTCTTTAAGTGAGACTGAATCACAAAGGGAAAACTGAAAAGAGTGAGGCCTGGGCAGAGGCAAGAACATAGTAAATCAACCACATAGTCAATAGGGCCCTTGTGGGGTGCTGACAGAACCCAAGGCAGCGGAGGCCTGTGAACCCAAGCATGCACTCCCTGGATCTAAAGAAAAAGACAGGAAGCCCCAGGAGCCAGGCTCTGCAGACAGCATCCCAGGAGGCTTCTTAGGCAACTTTGGGAGAGGCTCAAAGCTTGAGCTGAATTCCCATGGAAGACCCAGGCGCTCTTTGCTCTAAACAGGGCTGTGTCCTGGCGGCTACAAGTCCTGTTTAGGAAGTACATCTAATACTTGCTTCCTATGAAGACAAATGCTATTTAGGCAGAGGCTTTGAGAGCATTGTTTTTCCCAGGAACTGAAACTTTCCCTGCCACGGGGACTCACTGACCCACCTGATTGGGAGCCGTCCTCTTTATAACCTGAAAGAGGAAAAAAGGACAGATGTGAAGCAAAAAGCAGGATAGCAGTAAAGAGATGTGATTGTGCATGTGTGTGTATGTGTGTTTATTAATTAGTCCATTCACTCATTTACCAAATAGTCCCTAATCTCAGACTGGGGAACAACTGTATCAGAGCCTGTCTGGGAACACATGCTGCCCAACTGTTCAGACAGTAAACATGATACCACCATGTGCGATCAGGGCAGAACAGGGCCAAAGGCGTCAGGTGAATCCAAAAGAGGTGGCAGGTGTAAGAGATAGCAGAGAAGAGAGAATGCTGGGAAACATCTTAAAGAGGAGAAAAGCAAATAAAACAAACAAACAAATAAACCAATTCCTCCAGGGAGAAGCACAGTAACATATTCCAGGGCCTCTGGTGGACAAAAGCAATGTCTGTGGTGGAAGAGAAAGATGTGTGGATAGGAGCACCAGGGGCCAGCTGCAGAGGGCCACAAGAGCCAGGCTGAGCAGCTCTGGGAAGCCAGAGGAGGTGGGGATTGTAGGATTCTATCAGGATGGCAGCAGAGAATCACAAGAGCAGAAAGGTGATAAGGTATCCCACGGGTCTCTGAGGACCCAGGCAGCAATGAGGGGATCTGAGCCAGGCTCTGAGAACAGATATGACCAGCTTGATGGGAGACGAAGGGACGTGGATTAGTCTCCTGGTTTCAGAATTCAGAACAGGAATGGCTGAGGCTCACTTCACTGAGTTGGACAACTAAGGAAGAGAGAGATGAGGGGCTGGTGTGGACCCCAAAGGTGTGAGATGGTTCTGGGAAGGGCCCACAGGTGGGTGTACCGTCAGGCTGTTGTTTTATAACGTGGCATGATGTCACTGCAGCTCAGTGCCTAGGACATTGCAGCTCAATGCCCATTCACCGGAGCAGAGAAGAGGGAAGGCGCAAGGATTCAAACAGCGCTTTCAGAACATCCTTATGTCAGAGAGGAGCAGAGACTGGGGGCATGGAGGAGAGGATTCTACTGAAACAGGAGAATCAGGACGCTGGGGAAGGTACTTGTAGTCCCAGCATTCGGGAGGTGGAGACAAGAGGTTTGGGACTTCAAGGCTATCCTCAGCTACACGGAAAGTTCAAGGCTATTATCCTAGGGTTCATGAGACCTTGCTCTCCTCCCCAAATAAAAGAAGAAAATAGGGGGAATGGGAGGGGGGAGAAGCCACAGAGAATTTAAAAGGAGAGAGAAGTAAAAAAAAAAAAAAAAAAAAAAAACAAGAGCAATAAAGGTGATGGGCATGATGTCAGGAGCGGGCTTCAAATTACATAGTAAATAAATAACGAAGTGCCAGAGGGAAGCCTAAGTGATAGTGCCTCTTGGGGGAAGGCTGGCCCAGGGAGAGATGTCCAGGGAAAGGCAGTGAACACCTGAGTCTGACAAGCATGAGCCCCGCCTCTCAGCGTAGGGAGGGCCCTGTTCCAGCCCCACCCCGCCAGGACGCAAAGAAGCAGGTCTGGGTAGTGTTACAGAGCAGTCAGATTCGGAGGGATCCCTGGAAACTTGGGGGCTCGGAGGGCGGGGGTGAGGGGGTCAGTCTGAGAAGACAGCACTTAAGGGCCTGTCCTCAGCCGCTGGTGGGAAGAAACCAACATTTAGGTATATCGTCCGTTTGAAGGGATGGAGATGCGGAAGGCATCTGCGCGGGGAGGGAGAGGCCAGGAATGCTCCCCGCTACCCCACCCCCGACTGTCTCCAGGAGGCCACAAGGCGGTTGTGGCCTGAGGAACCTAGAAATCTAGGAATGGATAGCAGAAAAGAGGTGACAGCGAGGTAGGGCTGGTACACAAAAATTCCAAGTGGCGGAAAGGAACTGCCCAACCTGAGCAAGACTGGAGGGGAGAGGACACAGAAAGAAAGGACAACAGAGAAGGAGGTCCTTGCCTCACCTAAGTTTGGTGGCAGAGGCACCAACAGTAGCGCCAGAAAGCGGGTTAGGATCCGGCGCCTCAAGGATCCAGGCCCAGCGTCCAGACCGCACGACGTAGCCATGAAGATGTTCCGATGGGCGGCGGAGGGGCGGCGTGCTGTCACGTGCCCCACACCCCTGTACATGATGGCGTCTTAGACACGTGACTAATATGGTGCTGCCAAGAGCCTGACAGGCGTTTTCAGGGTCTTCGGGTTCTGGCACCTGGACCCAGTCTGGTCCTTAGGATGACTTCAGATCCCTTGGCTGAGACTGGGTCTCAGCGTACAGATCTACGGAAGCAGCGCCAGAGCTCTAAGTGTGGGAGCCTACTGCCAAACCGTCCCTGTGCTGGGAATGGCACCTTGTTGTCCGACTCGGGCTATACCCTTGTTCTCTGGGCCTGTTGCATAAGGATTTTTCACAGTCACTGCTGACAAGAACCAGGAAAGCCGGAGAACAGAATATAACAGTATTGAAGCAGGCATGGTGGCTCGCGCCTTTAACCCCAGCATTCGGGAGGCAGAGGCAGGCTGATGTCTGTGAGCTAGCTCGAGGCCAGCCTATTCTACAGCCAGGGCTACATAGAGAAGCCCTGTCTTAAAAAAAAAAAAAAAAAAAAAAGGCCGTTATAAGTAGGTAAGATGATTTTGAGATCATATTGGCTGAACTGGATCTAAGACTAAATCAAGGAGGGGGCAACGTGCCCAGTAAAGAAGGGCAGCGGACCTGTTCCACAGACCAGTGTATGAAGGACTGTTGGCACTTAAAAGAGTGGCCCTTTTTTTGCCTGGCGTTGGGTATAAACGGGGTTTTCCACACAAGGATGATCTTTTTGGATTTGCAGAGCCCAGCAGAGGTTGGGAGGTGTCCACCGAAATTCCTGTTTCCTTTATTTGGTTCCAGGTGTCCTACAGAACTCTGGGGACCCCATCACCCAGGTTGTCACTTAAATTTCATTTTTATGTGTATGAGTGTTTTGTCCGTATGTCTGTCTGCGCATCACTGTATAGGCCTGATGCCCACAGAAGCCAGAAGGCGGCATTGGATCTCCTGGGTTTCAGATGGCTAAAATCCACTGTGGGGGTTCTATGAATCAAACTTGGGCCTTAGAGAAGCTCTTAACCACTGAGCCTTCTCAGCCCCCAGCTTGACATTTAAAGGAGTTTGAATGAGTAATCGTCGGTGCCGCTCATATGCCAAGACAGGCAGGAGAAGGTCGCCCTGCTGCCAGCGGTTCTTTCCTGAAGGTAGGTGTCCACAGCAGCTGCCCAGCAGCACCTGGGGACGTACTGGAGACTTCATCCTCAAGCCCTGGCCTGGACTTCCAGGGCTGAAAGTTCCATAGGTGAGGCCGGTAATGTGGGTCCTATTTCTTTTTAGGCAGGACCCCTCTCTGTGTAGCCCTGGCTGGCTTTGAACTTGTGGTACTTCTGCCTCTGCCTCTCGAGTGCTGGGATTACAGATGTGTCCCATCACTCGTGGCAGTAATGTGGATTTTAACAAGCCCTCAGGGGATGCTCGCACAGGTGAAGAATGGACCATAAGGCTGAGAGAAGGGCCATAGAACAGAGGAAAACCACCTATGGACATAGCATGACTTGCTATAGCAAACAAAGTTAAATTTGTATTGTTGGTCTGTGAAGAACCAGTGGTTTCTGGAGGGTGGTAGTTTAGGGTTTTGCCATAGTTGTTCTGACACAGCGTTTTGAGTATCCCAGGTTAGCCTCAAACTCAGTTTGTAGCAAAAGAACAACTGGTTGTCCTCACAGGTGATGGAGATATGGGCAAACACCACCTCACCAGCTCAGTATCCAGTGGCTTTTTAAGAAAATATTTGGTGATGTATGTGTTCATTAGGAGATGGGTTTGACATTCAGGGTGTGGTGGTGCACGTCTTTAATCCAGCACTTGGAAGGCAGAGGCAAGCAGGCCTCTGTGAGTTTTGGGACAGCCAAGGCTACATAGTGATAGCCTGTCTCAAATAAAACAAAATAGCAAACAAACAAAACACAAACACGCACACACACACAGAGAGGGACAGGGTTTGATGTAAATTCTGTCAGGTCCATCCTTCCTTGGGCAATGGTTAGAACTGAATGTCCATGAAAGCCATGGAGAACACAGACCCCTGGGAAGACAAAGGGTGGGAGAGGGAAATTGGGAGGGCACCACTGAACAGCCTGACAGTCAGGGATACCAGACCCTGTGTGAGATGGACGAAGCTGGACATAATGTAGTGAATCTTTGTGAATATCCTCCTGGCTTTGGGAACACAATCTTTGGAAATAAAGTCAGATGAATGGAAAAAAGAAAAAGACCATTTCCTCGGGCCCCCGCTTCATTCTTGCTCCCAGTTCCTGCTGCCCCTGAGCCCCTGCTCCTAGCTGTGAAATCGGTAAAGCTCAGATAAAGTTGCTGCCCTGCTAACAGCGCCGGGCACACAGGAAGCAGGACTGACTACCAAGACTACCTATGGGACTCAGATCTGAGCTCGCCCAACCTCGACCTGTCTGTGCTCTAACACAAATTGCAAGTCACTTCCCTCCATAAGTGTTGGGGAGGGGGTGTGCAGTTCTCTAAGCCAAAGATCCCAGGTGAGCAGAGATTCAGAGCAGACAGGACAGTCTCCAAATGTTTATTTAGTTCACATTTGAAACCTTCCCATCCCAGAACTTCCTCGACACAATGGGGGGTGACCCTGGATGTGACCCCTAAAGTACTGAGGAAGGATTGCCTTCCCATGAAGCCTATGGGGCAGAGGCTGTGCACCCACTAGCAGACCCCCAAAAGGGGAATTTCTACCAGCCCCAGATATTTAAGTCCCAGCGTTGTATCTCTGCAGGAAGCTAGCAAGGGCCCCTTTTTTTCCTCCCTTCCCCATCACCTTCCCCCCCCACCCCGCCCCTGTTCTCCTTCTCTTTCAGCAGTCACTGAGCTGTGTGATGTGAACAGAGCCAGTCTGGTGCCTGCCACACCGGTGATGACAGTCTTCTCTTCTTCGAAGATGTCCCGAAGGATGTTATGAGTCATTGTGCCCCACCTAGCAGGCCCTCTGGTTGGGGGTGAGCTCACCCTCATTCCCACCAGGCAGAGAACAATCAGGTATGGGTGTGTCTGAGACAAGCGACCAGAACACCAATCTCCCTGCCACAGTCCACCATTACTGCCTCAGAGCAATGGGATCCTGATTGGAATTGGAAGGAAGGGCAAGAGAGAGGGAAGGGGATATTGGGGCCCAGTGGGACAATCAAATCCAGCTGGAAGACGGGTGGCTAGGGAGTTCACAGAGTGACCAGGATGGCCAGGTGCGGCACCAGACTCAGGCATAGAACCAACACTCCTGTGGAATCCGTATGGGAGGCCTGACTTAAAATAAATTCGACCCAATCACTGTATTCACTGATGTCTGTGTAAACTGAGGGAATGGGGATTTGGCCACAGCTGAGGCCCCAGCTCACAATCCCCACCTGGGTCCATGTCTTGTCGATTTCACAGACAAGGGGGCCCCCAGAATCTCCCTGGAAAAGAGGAGAAAGAAATCAAAGGTAGGGATGGCAGAGTGAGCAGACTGGCTGCAAAGTCAGTACTGGAAAGACTCTCCCTGGCACCCAGAGGCCATTCCAGGCCTGGGTTATTTCAACCACTGAGATTTAGCAGATGAAAAGCTCAGAAAACATAAAATCCTCTCAGCAATGATCACCCTCCCTGGTGATCAGACACACAGACACACAAAGCTGATAAAGCACAGAGTAGCAGCTGTCTATTGAAATATCCCTTGAGAGTCCCTAATCCCTAATCCATGGATACCAAACCCTTGGTGGTGAACTTCTAAGTCTGTCATAGCCTATAACCCTGCAACCGTGGCAGCCTTGGCCTCTAGAATACACAGCCTGCAGAGCCCACTCCAGCATCAGGCCAGGGTCTCTTCAGACGGTGCAGCCCTGGATCTTCAAGAACACTAAATATTCTGAGCATCATCATTGCACGGAGGTACTAGAATCCTTCCCACTGCCTCAGAATTTCTCCCTGCCCTAACCCCACTGAGTGACCCCCTCCACTGCTCCATTGCCTTCAAGGGCCTGAGTCACATCAAACTTTTCCTTCCAGGACAATTCCGCATGGCCTTGCCCGAGCTTAAACCCAAGGGTCCACAACCAGCCACTTCAAATACCTCCCTTACCACCTCAGGCTCTGCTTAGGACTTCTAGATGACAGAACAAGCTCAAAAGACTTCAGGCACCACATATCCAAGGGATTCACTTATCCAGATGGTAACTTTGACCGTACTCACCTGGCCTCACCTCCCAGTTTGGGCTGGGCCAGTCTAGAAACTTAACATAATACTCCAGGCTGCATATATTCCGACTCCAACCACTTGGATGGCTACACTTGTTGTCCTATTGTTTCAAATGCACATAAAACCTTCTTCAGCATAAGACCTCTGAATCCTGGGGCTGGAGGGATGGCTCAGTGGGTAAGAGCACTGTCTGCTCCTCCAGAGGACCAAGGTTCAATTCCCAGCACCCACCTGGCAGCTCACAACTGTCTCCATTTCCAAGGGATCTGACACCTTCACGCTGATGCACATAAAATGAAATTAAATAAATTATTTTTTAAAAAAAAGACCTCTGAATCTTTATACATGCCTGTCCTCCACCATGACGGTACCCTCCCCTTTCCAAGAGATTCAAATGTGCATCTACAAACAGCCCAAAGCCCCCTTATCAAGAGTGCAGCCTTATGCAGAAGGAAGAAATGGGTCTGGGGATCCTACAGGTACTCACAGAAAGATCTCCAGTTTATCTCCTTGGATTTTGCCTTCCAGGGATTTATAATGTCTACTCTGCAAGGCTGTGATGTGGGTTAACTAAGAGGATATAGGTCAAGCGCTCACCTTGGCATGGTTGAGTGCCACATAAAATTCAGGGTGAAACACTGCTTGCATTTTCACTTCCAGATCTAAATGTTTTAGCATGATCCCTAGAAGGATCAAGCCAGGTCAACTCATGGGAAACATGATAAATCATTCCATAAACCTTAACTAGGAGGTTTATGCAAGATGTAGCAGCCAGGCATGGTGGCTCACACCTTCAAGTGAGCTTGAGGCCATCCTGGTCTACATAGTGAATTCCAGGACTACACAGTGAAACCCTACCTAAAAAAGGGGGTGGTGGTGGCAGATAACTCAAGCCTTTGAGGTGACAACCAAACCATACAGGCTTTAAGGGGCCCATGAACTGACCCAGCAAGGGCTCTGTCCTGAGTCGTGCTGACCACAGATCATCCCTTTGTCACTATGTTTTTCGATGTTTGCAGCTCTCTCTGGAACAGACGGTCGCAATGCTTACGGGAAAGAATGTGTTGCTGAACCTCCTGAAGAGCTGAAGCAAACACAGTATCTACAGAAAGACAATTTAGGATCTATACCAGAAGACTGGCAGGAGCCATCGGCATCCACTCCAGGTGCCACTCCGTGTGTGAATAGACAGTTGCTCCCTTAAAGGCAGACAGGCCGTGAACTGGATACCTGTCTCACAGGAAACAGACAATCAAAGTCTTGCCAGCTAGAAGGTGACAACCAAGCATCTGCCAAAGTCTTTGTGGTAATAGGGTCAAAGGTCCTGTGCCACAGTAGGGCACCTTTGCTTTCTATAATTGGACCACAGACTTTTAGGCAGACTGTGCCATAATGACAGGAAATCTATCCATCCTTCTCCAACGGAGCTGCTCTGGCTTAGGCCAGGAGGCAGGAAGCTCAACCCTCTGAGGGAAGAACAGCTCAAACTGGTCAGTACCACATTACCCCAGCCCAGTTCTAACTTTGACAGAAACCATCACATCTGTCCAAAAAAAAAAAAAATCCTAACACAGTTGCAAAGTACTCACTGTCCATGTATTCTCCTGCCTCCTCCCTTGTCAGCCAGCTAGACCCTTGCTGACCAACCCCAAAGCCCCAAGCTGTGTTGCTTCCAGCTGACCGACTCACCAGTTTTTTTGTGGTTGCTCCAGCCGGTCACCCAGCACTCTGTCCCGTTTTTCACTTGGAAGGGCTCTCTGGGAAGGCACACAGGCTGGATGTCTGCTGAGTAGGTCACAGGAAATTTCAGCAGAACGAGAGCAATGTCATCGCTCATGGTTTTCATGTCAAAATTGGCAGGTAAAATGATATCTTGGACTGGGACCAGAAGCGTTTTTTTCAGATTTACAGTTCAACTTATTATCTCCCAGCATCGTTGTGTATTCCTGGTGGCTGTGAAAAAAGCACACAAGACATCCTGAAGGGTTTACACACACACACACACACACACACACACACACACACACCCTAAACAGGATACATGCTTGTCAGCATCGGCCCTCTCCCTCCCTCCAAGCCACAGCCCCTTCCCCAGGTCCCCTGACCACTCTTGCCCACCCAGCAACGCTCCAAGTGTGTCTCCTACACCAGTATCACCTGGAAACCTGATAAAATAAGGATGTTTGGATGTCACTGGGTGAAAACTCTGGACCATCAACTCCTTTTACAGATGAAGAGAGAAAAAAAACCTTAAGAGATGGGGACAGGACACCTGGTCCCCAAACACTCACCCATTTATACAATAGGCCACAGTCAGCACCCATTGGTGGCCGATGAGGGAGCCTCCCCACACATGTTCATTTTTGCTCTGCAGGCTCACCTGCCAGGGCCACTTCCTCACTACAGATAAACTTCCATGATTTAGCTCTGTAATTCTATGGCCACAGGCGTCTAAAGAGAGATTAAAGGTGAAGCCATTACCTCACACCTCCATCCCATTCCACACACAGTCAAGGTCCTCCTCAGGAAGGGACTATCTCTGCAGCCCTCCAAGGGTTGGAGCTGACCTTGCCTCCCAGCCTGACTGGGTTACCCTTTGACCTCAAGGCCAGGCCTGTAGAGCCCTAGCAGTACCTAGAAAAAAACGGTTCTCCTGGAGAGCTACCACTGGATTCCAAGTCATCTTCGGTTGTGGTCGCTGAGACAGGCCCTGATCCTGGAGTCGCAGTCGACTCTGGAGACACCGGAACTACTGAGGGATCTGAAATACTCCGGGGCTTCAAGCAGCGCCACTGTGCCAGGGCCTCAGGACTTGTCGGCATCACTCCGGAATCCTTTCTGGGTTTGTAAATGCCACCTGAGGAAAAGACCAACAGGAAAAGCTCAGGCCAGCCACAGCCGCGCCTGTGAAGCCGCTAGCTCCTGGCCTGACTGCCTCAGCAGCTCCATCACCATGGCCACTCCCACCCAAGCCAAGCTCCACCTCCCCCGCTGCTCCCACCGGGCAGAACCCCTGTCCCCAGCTAAGGCCTCACTAAACAGAGGCTGAAGAAGCTGAAGCCAGACCAGGAGGGCCAACAAGACGCCCCTGTTACCCCCACGGATGCCACCCATCCAAGCCTTGGATTCAGGCAATCCTTCTCCTGGTACCCCCTCCCCTCCCCCCTCTCTGTTCCCCGGGGGCTCGCGCAGGAACAGCTGTGTGCCCGTGGTCCAGCTTTTCGCCCTAAGATGTCTGATGCCTGAGTCACCCACCAAAAAGCTAGCTGGTAGCATACTAGAGCTTATCAATATTAAATTAAAAGGGGGTTGGAGCACTTGCTGCTCTTACAGACCGGGATTTAGTTCCCAGCACCCACATGGTGGCTCACAACCACTTATAACTCCAGTTCCAGGGGATGTCTTGTGGCCTCTGTGAGCACCAGGCACGTTCAAGGTGAGTAGACACACAAACAGACACACACACACACACAGAGAGAGAAACTCATACACATAAATAAAAACTTAAAAAATATTAAATAAAAAGCCTACCCCAGTCCCAGACAACATAATATCACAAGAGTTTGATAATTTCACTTTTAACCTCTGGTGGTAAACTAAGACCCATGCACAAACCCACAGAAATGCACAGCTTTGGTAATCAATGTAAAGCGACAATGCAGGCTATCTCCAGTCCGGGTGAGACACAGGACTGTGCCCATGGTTCAGGACACAGCTGAAGGCTGCTCTCCGGTGTTCACTCCTTTCATATAATTAGAGACTCGCGTTTTCTGAACACCCGTCCCTGCATGCTGCACTTGAGTCTGGGGGCAAAACGGCACTTAATGTATCTTTAAGAGATTCCTAAGACTGCGCTTTCTCCTTCTGTCCCTCAGGTGCTGGATTGTTTGACCTGTAGAGTCTCCAGTCATCCAGACTCTGACTTATAGTCGTTCTTATTCTTCTAGCTTCTCCATTTTCTGCAAATCCACAGTGGGACCCAGGTTCCTGCCCTTTGCCAACTGACAGCAAGTGCTGTATTCTCTTTGAAGACACAGAGTTTTATGTGGTTTTCTTTTAATGATATTTATTTTTATTTTATGTGCGTGAGTGTTTTAATGGCATGAACGTAAGTGTATGGCATATGTGCCTGGTATCCATAGCTGCCAGAAGAGAACAACAGATCCCCTGGAACTGGAGTTGTGGATGCCATGTGGGTACAGGAAACTGAACCAGGATCCTCTGCAAGAGAGCCAGTGTTCTTAACTGCTGAGCCTTCTCTCCAGCTGCACCACATGGTTTTATTCTTTGACTTTATGAATGTTTTGATGATTTTGCTAGAAACACTAATCCTTTGTGTGTAGGGGGGGTGCTGAAAATAGTGACCTCATAATTATAGCATTGTTTCTTTCATTTGTCAGCTGGGAAAGTTTATCAAGAGTTTGGATATTAAAATATTTTATAGGTTTTAAAGAATTACAACTACCATCATACTGAGGTGGATTAGAAAACTCAATCACAATATTTTGCACCTTTACCCACCAAGAAACAGAATTCATCCAGGAGTGGTGGCTCATGCCAGCAATCAGGAGTGAGAGGCAGTAAAATGGCAAGTGTAAGGTCAGCCTGGGCTCTAGAGTGAGTTCAAGGCTTCCCAGTGCTGAAAAGTAAGACCTTGCCTCAAATGATAGACTGGATTCATTTTCCCACCCCTGCTGGAGCCTTGTGACTTGCGTCTACCAACAGAAGCAAAGTTGTACAACTTCTGAACTGGCGTTGAGCTCTTAAAGCCTTCACCCATTTAGACACTGTCCTGAGAGCCCTGGTCCTGATGGAGGATGAGCACCTTCAGAAAGCTAAAGCATCCAAACTAAAGTTACAACCATCCAGGACACTGTGTTGTGCTATATAAAGACGTTGTAAGAGTTGAGTTAGCAAATGCTAAACCATCGCCCTTACTGGAAACACAGTCTTATGCTCTGTGAGCCTCTGCTCATGGAGCCAGCATATCACCATTTCTAAGTGTGTTGCTCTGTCCTGTTAGTTGACTACACTCCCAGCCCACTTTAACCAATGCTTAAGGAAAGCTGCTCCAAGAAAACTCTTCTCTGTGATGTACCTCATAGCTTTCTTGCATTTAGGAATGCTAAGCAGCATTTCAGATTATTGTTGCAGTTCTTTGAAATGGGGGGGGGCATAAATATGTAAGTGGCAGTAAACACTTGTTTAAGTGAGAGCTGAAGGGAGCTGAGAAACCATCATGCAATTCAGCTTTTTTGAGGAGCGTGAGTACCAGAGTGTTTTCACCGCTCTGTGCATACCCACAATGAAATGCCGAGCATGGAAACGCACTGGGTGAGGCTGTTAAATTTTGGGGTGCTATGTCACCAGCCACGGATCCCCCAAACACTTTCTGAAGCTCATAGTACTTCATTTTTGCCAAGCATGGTTCCAGTTGTCTTTAATAGAAGTCTTGCCTTCTGGAGTGATGGAAACTCTCAGGTTTCTTTTAGGCATTTCCTACTCACACCTATACTGTTTGTTTTTGTTTTTGTTTTCAAGCCTTCTCTCTGGGCAACCCTGGAGGAAATGAGGTTTCAAAACCACAAAATCTGGCCACTGGAAATGGTCACTGATATCTGTATCCCTTGGCCTTTATGACCAAAACCTATGTGTAGGTTTTGATTCACTGTAAAAATCTAGTGGGCTCATTAGAACTCACCGTCTGCCCCTCACCTCCTCCTCTCTCTGCATCATATCTTTTAGAGAGAGGTTCCACCCAGCCACCATGGCCTCTTAACTGGAGTCTTTCTAATAACTTCCCTGTGCCTAAGTTAGTTTGTGCTCCTCTGCAGGGGGAACACAGGCTCTAGTACTCGAGGCAGCTGGCCCCAGCACCAGGCCAGGACATTTTACAAGCCGAAATATCCCTGCCGTGCTCCACTGAGGTACTCCCCCAGGGCAACAGATCCCAGCTGGAGTTTGAGGTGGGATGGTGGGATGGTGGTTGGTTGGGATGGTGGTGGTGTTGATGGTGGCGGCGGCGGCCATGGAGGTGGCTGCAGCAGTGGTGTGGATGGCAGTGGTGGCGGTGGTGGCCGTGGTGGCGGTGGTGGCCGTGGTGGCCGTGGTGGCCGTGGTGGCGGTGGCACTGATGGGGTGGTCAGGGAGGAGCAGGCAGGTACACAGGCACAGCATGGCTAGGTGAGCACTGTTCCTATTGGTGTCTGCACTTCCTCAAGTAGGAATTACAGAGCCAAGGAGGATTCCAGAGAGATGCTGCAAGCCCATAGGCCCAGGCACTGAGGACTCACCCGAGATTCCCAAAGATTCCAGATCCCTGCCACAGCTCCGGCGTTCCTAACCCCCACAGAACTTCCAGGATCAGGCCTTCCTGCCATGATGGCCACTGTGAAAGGAGTCTTAGAATCCCACCACAGCTACCCAGGTACTGCTTCTGGCTCTACAGACCTGCCTGGGAGGTCAAAGGGCAACCTGGGGAGGTGGAGTCAGCGCCTGTCCTTCCTGAGGGTGACACTGGCTACCCGGGGAGGGAGGACATGGCATGAAATTGGAAAGGGCACGTGTGGGCAGGAAAGAAGGGGGAATTGGTAACTAAGATAAGAAACATGGAATACATGTGTGAAACTGTCAAAGAATAAATAAACTTTTTTCTAACGAATTGCAGCGAAGTATTACCGTATTAAAGGCTCCTTCTCAAGATTATAGAATAAAAAAATGGAGGGATGGCTCAGTGGTTAAGAGCACTTGCTGTCCTTTCAAAAGACACTCATTTGGTTCCCAGTACCACTGCCAAGCAGCTTACAACTGCCTTTAACTCTAACTCCAGGAGATATGACACCCCCTTCTGGATTCTGTAGACACTCATACATATTCACAAATAAAAATAAACTTTAAAAAAAAGATTATGAAAATACATTTAGACAAACTACAAAGAAGAAAAACAGATAACCTGAATACACACACACACACATACACACACACAGACACCCTTACTACACAGAAAGTGTTACATTGGTGAGTTCTAGCAAACATTTAAGGAAAAGAAAACAATTTCATACAACCTTTCTCACAATAATTAAATAACAAAGAATATTTTCCAAACAATTCTATAAAACCAACATTCCCCTGATTTTTTAAAAATGCATTTCAAGAAAAAACTTTGAGCTACCAAGATGGCTTAGTGGGTTAAGGTGCATCCAAACCAGATGCCTGAGTTTGATCCCCAGAATCCACATGGTGGAAGGAGAGAACTGACACACACACACACACACACACACACACACACACAGGCAGAGAGAGATTAAAGAACAACTTAGACCCTAGCCTTTAAGAACTGAACCATCTGTGTATTAGCATAAGGCAAGAGGGAAGCAAAGGAAACCCATGCTGGAAAAAGATTAAAACCACATCTTGAGGGGCTGGAGAGATGGCTCAGTGGTTAGGAGCAATTGCTACTTTTGCAGAGGACCTGGGCTTGATGGTGGCTCACAGCTATCTCTAACTGTGGTCCTAGCTAGAGGGGGAAAAACATCTGGTTTTTTTTCTGGCCTTTGTGAACACTTGTAGGCAAATGGTGCACTAACATGCGAGCAAAGTATACAGATTAAAAATAAAGTTCTAAAGCCTTAAATGTAAAAAAAGTATCTGCAGACAATATAGTATACGTAGGAAATCAGAGGAGAGGGCCTAGAGAGATAGCTCAGCAGTTAAAAGCACTTCCTGCTCTTTAGAAGATCTGAGTTCAGTTTGCAGCACCTACATGACTCGCAACAATCTGCAATTCCAGTTCCAGGGACTGGATGCCTTCTTGCTTGGGCAGGCACTGCATGCAAGAGTTATACAGACCCACCTCCCTGCAGTCAAAACACCCAAACACCTGCAATCCCAGCACTCAGGGAAGCTGAGGGAGGAATACTGGCACAAGGCTGAGGTCAGTCTGGGCTATCCAAGCAGTATCAGGCCAGCCAGGACTGTAAGTCCCTCGAGGCACCAAAATGGCCAGGCTCCGACCACAGAACACTCTAATGCCCTTAACTGCTAGACCCTGCCCCTCTATGCAAGCAGCCAAGCGCTTACCCTACAGAGTAAAAGGCCCAGATCAGGCCACCCAAAAGAAACCCTTTATAAGCCTGCCTCCTGTGCAGGCTTTTCCTGCTTCTCTCCTGAGCAGAGGCAGCCACCCTCTTGTCTTTCTCCCAATAAATCTCTTGTGTGAGATTTGTTGTGAGGTATGACTGACTTTGTGATAGTCCTCGGCTCCAGACTGCCAGGATACCTTTCCCTTCAGAGCTGTAACTTTTTTTTTTTTAAAGATTTATTTATTATTTATACAGTATTCTGCCTGCACAACAGAAGAGGGCACGAGATCTCATTATAGATGGTTGTGAGCCACCATGTGGTTGCTGGGAATTGAACTCAGAACCTTTGGAAGAACAGACAGTGCTCTTAACTTCTGAGCCATCTCTCCAGCCCTGAGCTGTAACTCTTACATGAACTACATAGCAAAACCTTGCATTAAAATACAAATGCAGGAGCTGGAGAGATGGCTCAGTGGTTAAGAGCACTCTCTGCTCTTCCAAAGAACTGGAGCTCAATTCCCAACACCCATATGGTAGCTCACAATTGTCTATAACTCAAGTTCTGAGAAATCTGACACCCTCACGCTAATGCACATAAACTATATATAAATGTGTGGAGAACTTTTTTTTAAAAAAAAAAAAAAAAAGAAAGAAAGAAAGAAAGAGAGAGAGAAATACAGGCCTGGAAAGATGGCTCAGTGGTTAAATGAGACAAGACAGATGACTTCCTCCAGGATTTAATAGAGATTATAACCTCCCTAGATAAATGGGGGCCTATTTCTCTTTATGATATGCTATAAGCAGCCAAATATTCCAGATGGACAAAACTTCAGAACACGAGACACGTTTATTCAATTCACATCTAAAATAAATCTGCCCTCTCCAAAACTGTATCAACACAACTTAGGGTAGCCTGGAAGTGGCTGTAAGGGAACCGAGGTAGAGGGTACCAGGCAGGATTGTTCCCAGGAGGCTTGTGTGGCAAAAGTTTTTGCCCTCACAGATGGATTCCCACTGGGGCTCGGGGAAATGTTGCCAACTACAATGGAGCCAGGTGGAGACGCCTCAACCTCACACCTCTGCAGGAAATGCCTCCTCTGTCTCTTTGTGAGTGGTCACAGAGCTCCCTGGGATGGCACAGTCTCTGGTTAGAACTATTAACAGCCAGTCAGGTCTAGTGGCCATTCAATACTGATGATGTCGCTCCTCTGTAGAGGTTCACCAAGACCTTCCTGAGTTAGCTCCCTCCACCTGGCAGGCCAGGTGGTCCTCTGTCTGGAGGCAGCTCGCTCTCCTTCACTCCAGGCAAAGTGCAGCCTTCGAACAGTGGCGGCCGTGGCAGGAGACCAAGAGTACCAGGGCAGGACCTTTTGCAAGCCCCAAACCCCCTGCCATGCTCCACGGAGGCAACAGATCCCGAGTAGAATTTGAAGAAAGAGCATTGACAGGAAAAGGAGATCAGAGGGGAAGCCTGGTGGAGGCTCAGAACAAGAGGATCACGGTCTGTGCGGGTCATGGTGTCACCAGGAGGCCCAGCTGAAGCACCGCACACATGCTTAAGAGGAGGAAGCCTGGCGAGCTCCGACCTGCAGCGCGGCTCAGATGGCTGAGGATCCAGTCCCTGTAGTAACTCACTTCGGTATAAATGCCGGGAAATCCAAGTCGACCACAGCCGATGCCCCAGCTCACGATCCCCACCTGCACCCAGGTTTTATTAATTTCACAGACAAAGGGCCCCCCAGAATCTCCCTGGAGTGAGAGAAACAAATGACAGGAATGAAATTGATCCATAGCACAACAGATTTCACCCTAAGGCTCTGGAGAGAGCGATACTGACCAGACTTCCCTGGCACCTGCTAGTCCTGAATCTCTGAATTCATTTTTTTAACAAATAAGAATTACTACCTATTTAAAAAGCTTAACTGAATATAAGCCAATATAATGTTCCTTTTCTGAAATAATGAGTAAATCGCCTCCTTGAGCCTCACATGGAAGGGGCTGAAAACACGGAATCTCTATCATTGCCACCCCCGGCCACTGCAGACAGCATCAGTTTTCTCCTGGAGGATCGTGTCGAGCTAGCCCAGGAGCTGTGGCGTTTTGTCCTGACATTCCATCAGTGAATGGAGGATCTGGGGCACAACCCAGGCCCCGAAGTCTGGGAACTCAGAACATCTGGGGAGAGGACAACATGGTCAAGGGGCCCAGAAACCAACCTGGCAGGCGTCTCCTCCTTTCTCACTGTAGCCACAGATTGTCCCTTCCTGGACTATCGAAAATATTTTTCCTGTGTTGTCCTTGAGAATATGATTACAATCCTCATGACGCATAATGATTAGCTCAACCTCCTGAAGCCATCTTGACGAGCTACCTACACGGAGATGATTTTGGAGAAAGCAGTTCTGCATTAAGTAGAATGGCATGAGTCAGTTGTGCCCCCTCCGGGCCACATACAAGTGTCCTCAACAGCCTCAGCTATTATCCACATCTGACACTGAGAGAAATGTGGCCCCAACCCCGCTAAGAGAGCGAGACAAAGTAAAGTCGAAACCAAGGAAGTAGAGGAAAGAACAGCCTAAAAGAGGGAGGTAAAAATCTTGTCAGCCTGTGAGGTGACAGTGTGTCATATACTCTCCCTAGTGCTAGTGATAATGAGTAAAGCATCCTCACTTGCTAGGACATGATCACAACCCCTTGGACAGGTGGTACCCCAAAGTACCAATCTAAAGTCTAGCCAAGAAACAGGAGACCCCAGAGCAGCGGTTCTCAACAACCGTAAAATGATTTTCATTACTACGTCGTAACTGCCATTTGCTGCTGTTGTGAATCAAATGTAAATATTTACCTCTTCTGGAGGTTTTAGGCGACCCCTGTGAGAGGGTCATCTGATCCCCAAAGCGGTCTCAACCTGCAGGTTGGAGATTCACTGTCCTGTAGACTCACTGAGTTTCTTGACCTCTCCTCTCATACAACAAGCTTCCTCCCTACCAAGACAGGTACTTGTAACTAATGACCCTCCTGTTTGGTACCTACTTCCTCAAGTCCTGACAAACCAATGAAAATTCATCAACAGTCACTCCCTCATAGCATCTTCCCTCTACCCTCCCTTATCTTCATGCTAAAAACTCTGGCTCCCCGTCCCTCCTGCCTGTAGACCAGGCTGCACAGCCTGATCCCTGGTCTGCAGTTGCTGGAATCTTCCTTTAGGCTCACCTTGTTCCATGACTTTGCCCCATCCGGTCACCCAGCACAGGGTCCCAGCCTCTACCAAGAAAGACTTTCTGGGAAGGCACACGGGCTGGATGTAGGCACTATAATTCACAGGGAAGGCCAGCAGAGCAAGGGCAATGTCATGTACAATCATCCCCATGACAGAATAATCCTGGTGGACAATGATGTCTTGGACTGGGATCTTGACTGACTTTGAGGACCACAGGTCAACCTGTCCCAACTTCACTTCGTAATTCAGATGACTGCAAAGAAATCCTGAAGGGTCTACACACTTCCCCTCCACACAGACAAAGGGCTTTGCAGCCCCTCCCCCCATCCCGTTTTCCTAAGGCAGCCATCAGCTACCTTCCTCTTTTCAAACTCTATTCTTTCTGGGACCCCCAACTATCCTAGCCAGCCACCAGTTAGTTGGTTCTCCGAGTGTGCTCTCTGATCAACTATCATTTGGGAATGTATTAGAAATCCAAATGGTCAGGTGTCAACTGAAACTAAATTACAAGCAAACAAATAACAACAAAACAACCCAACCCTGGGACTGTCATCTCTCACCCACCCCCACTAGTTTTGAGATGGGCTCTCTCTCACCCTGTGGCCCAGGCCATGGAACTTACTATGTAGACCAAGCTGGCCTCTAAACCCCTGGCAATCCTCCTGCCTTAGTCTCCCGAGGGTTGGGATTAGACACATGAGCCACCACCACAGGCTCCTTTCTTCAAATAGAAAGCGAGAGGGACAGGCCATAGAGCCTGGTTAGGGGCCCAAGTCCAGATCCCCAAGTACTCACCCGTATACACAGTGGGCTGCTGTCATCACCCACCATTTGCTGATGAGGGACCCACCGCAGATGTGCTTCTTGTCGGCCTGCAGGCTCACCTGCCAGGGCCACTTACTCTCTGCCGCAGGCTGTCCACCAACTATCCTTGCAGTTCTGTGGCCACAAGCTGGAGCAGGTTAGTGAAGGGAGGGGCTGAAGATAAAGCTGTTGCTGCTCCACTGGCAGCCAGATCCTTAGCACCTGTGGAACAAGGCTCTGTCCCCGCAAATCCCAGGGCAATGTGATCCCTAAGACTCATCCCGGAATGGTGGTGTCCTGTCAGATCTCCAGGGTAGATTGGGCCCACTCAATGTGGGAGCCCACATCCCACACCCAAGAACCTAAGACCCTCTTCTCCGTCAGGGTCCCGTCCCCATGGGTCCACACCAGTTCTCTGCAGAGGGCCATGGCCGAGAAACTTCACCTGAAAGGGCAGGAACAAATGGTGGATATGCTTTCTTTGAAAAAGAGTGACCCGGAGTAAGTGCCGCCGAATCAGGGGACACCAAACTGCCCCCAGGCCTGGGGGCCAGCGAGGTCTCAGGCGTCCCCGTAACAGGCCTCTCCTGTAGGTTTATGCCCGGCTCATCGAGGCCGTCCTCCGAGGGGAGAGGAAAAAGAGATAGTGTCCCTGGAACCATCCGGGGCTCGCCCAGTCGCGTCTGAAACAGCAGAAACCAGACCAAGAGGCCCGAGGAGTCACTACCCTGGAAGGCCATGCCACCACCAAAGCCTCGACCTTTGTCGCAGCGCCTCCTCGTGGGCGGTTACGGAGGCTGCGCACAGGGGAAACGGGCACTTTGATTTGGCACATCATTCCCCAACGCCCTCCCAGCTCTCCACTCTCTCCACCGGAGCTGCACCTGCGGTGGTCCTCCCTCCACTTGATTCACGAATGACTCCCAGACAGTCAGGGTAATCGCAAAACCCCTTAGCAGAAAGGTTGTACCTAAGGCTACTAACGATTGCATCAGGGTGGACAGTGCTACCTTTTTAAAAAAGTCAACACCCTCAAGATCTTCAAGGCCCATTAGCTGTATCAGTACAACACAAATTAAAACCACAATGAGACATCAGTATCGGGCTTTCAAAAACAAACCCGCAATAACCTCAAATGCTGGCAGCAGTGCAGAGATAAAAGACTTCCCCTCTGGAAAACACACTGGCTGTTTATTATATAACAAAAAATGCAATTACCATACACTCCAGCAAGTATATTCCAGGATGTTTATCCCAAAGAAATAAGGATTTATGTTCTATTAACCTGTATAAACGCTTACACTGTTAATGTCTTTGTTCATCAACAGCTGAAAATACACAGCAGTAAACCTCTTTGCCTCCCCCAAACATACATTTTCTAATCCCTGGAACCCATGAGGATGCTACTTTACCCAGCCAATGGCAAACAGAATGGATTAAATTAAGGCTCTTGATTCAAGATTATCTGTACTTTCCAGGTGAGCCCACTGTAATCACAAGCTTTTTTATTTATCAACAAGGCAATTGAAGTCAAGGGAAGAGATGAGATGTCAAAAAGGAGTGGGAGGAGAAGTTGTTGTTGTTGTTGTTAATGTTTCCCTATGGTCTTCAAAGACCAAAGAAGAGGTCACAAATCGAGGAGTGGAGGCAGCATCTAAAAACCCGAACCGGAAGGAAAAGAAATTCTTCCCCTCTGCTTGCAGTGATAGCTCACACCTTTAATCCCACAAGCCAGTGCTGGGGAGGCAAAGGTAGGCAGATCTTGGTTAGTTCAAGGCCAGCCTGGTCTACAGAGTGAGTTCCACCATAGCCAGGGCTACTCAGAGAAACCCTGTCTTGGGAAAAAAAAAAAATTCTCCCCATCAGTCTCCAGAAAGAAACAAGTCAGCTTACCTTTGGTTTTAGGATTTCAAAGCTCATAATTAGAAAATACAGACAGGTTGTTTCAAGCCACTAAATTGGTGGTAAATTGTTATAGCTATGAAAAGAAATCAATACAAATCCAGATATCCTTCAGTGGATGAGTGGTTAGGCAGCCTTACATTCACACTGTTAGACCCGAGAACCACGAGGAGAAAAGACCAAATCCATGATTGTCCAATTAAAGCTAGCTGTATTTTCTGGGGTGTCTGGAACTGGCCAGCCAGCTGTCTCACCCTAAGTCTGGATTTGAGAGAGTAGCCCCTGCTGGCCTCATGAAGTCCTCTTGATAGGGAAGATCAGGTCTTCACAGAGAGAGCTGACTGTTATGCATTGTTAGAAACAATGAAAGATGAAGAACAAGGATAAGGCTGTTTATCATGGGCATGAGGTCACAAGTTTAGTATAGGTTGAAAAACATGTTTTGCAGCTTACTTTACATGTAAGAAACACAAACTAATTTTTTTATTTTTATTTTTTGTTGTGTGTGTGTGGGGGGGGTTGCTCTCTGTGTAGCCTTGGCTATCCTGGAACTCAGCCTGTAGACCAGGCTAGACTTGAACTCACAGAGATTCTGCCTCTGCCTCCTAAGTGCTGGGATTAAAGGCGTGTGCCACCACTGCCATCTGGCTAAAGAACATATTCTTAATTACAACTAGAAACCTTAATTTGCAAGGACTTAACACAGAACAAATGGGAACTATGTCAAGGAACAGCTTTGACATCAACCAGGGTAAACTGAGCCTGGGCATAGATCCGGCTGCTGGCTGGTGCCCAACAGGCTTTCTCTGAGAGTCACTTTCAAGGGCAGAACTGATTGTTACAGACCATGGCTTCCACTGACAGTGGCAAACTGAAGGGCCAGAATTTAATTGTTCTTGGCAGTGGGCCAGTGCTGGTAGCTCCCTGGCATGAACTTAAACCTATTACAGTAAGTGGAGGCTAAGAACCCTCAGGGCCTTTCCGCTGATGGTGGTAAAGCATCTAAAGAGGAAAGTAGAGAAGGAGAAAAAAAGACCACGCACTCATATACACACTCACATTTGATGAAATAAGACAGACTCCAGCAGGAAGTTTCCAACAAGCTTCTTCTTTCAAGCTTCTCTTACTTTATACATACAAACACACAACATATACACATACATACATACACATTCACACATTGGGTGGATGGAGCAAACCCCAGGGAGCGAGTTCCAATCCAACCTTACACACATACATATATATATATATACACATATACTACACATATACACATATACATATATACATATACATATTGGTGGATGGAACAGCCTACCATTGTCCATATATACATGTATACATATATACAGTTGATGGATGGAACAAATCCTCAAGAGCAAGCTCCAACCCAGATTTTTATTCTTTTTCCCCACAGCTTATATATTCCAGCAAAATCTTTCAAGCAATACAAAAATCACAGTGTGGTTGCGTTCTATTTTTCTTTAAGTGAATGATCACAATGAGAATACTCAAGAAAAACATGTTCCCCCAATATACATGATCGAATGTTTTACTTATGGATGAAAAACAAGTTATTTCCCAAGAACCCACATATATTTGTAATTAAGTAACTCATTATAGATTAATAGTATAATTAAGCAAGGTAACTTCTCAGCCAGTTTTTTTTTTCTTTACTGGCAGGCTGCAATTTGTGGTTACAAAGAAAGAATCAATTATCTTAAAGAGTAATCTTATAAAAATCTTTAAAGAATCACAAACCTAAACTTTCATGTATAAAATAATCAGCCGTTTCTACTTTAAACCCTCCAGGTGAACATCTACTCATTAATAATTTTTATGAAATCATATCAGGAGGATGAGGGCAATAAAAGTATAAGGAAATTGTCATCTCAGTCACCAGCGAAGCTTGAGAGTGTCACATCAGCCACGGCTACCCTGGGCTATTGTTTCTGTTCACCAACCTTCAGGAGTCCTGGCTTTAGTGTTCAGAGTGGTTTTTTGTTAAGATTCTCTGCATCAGAGCCGCTAGCAGAATCATCTTTACCTAGCCTTGCTAAGCAACCTTTTTTTCCAAATTCTTTCTAAGGGTGGTGACCATTGCTAACAATTTACATCTCTCGGCTCTTGTTTCAAGGGTGGTGGTTGAATCGCTAATCTGCTCCAGCAGCAGTGCCTGAATGAGATCAAGCATTCCTCTTGTGAGTGCGAGGACCACAGGGGCGACAAGCAGAGAGATGCCCCATAACAGCACCAAGTCCTCAGGACACGTAGTCTGAGACAGTCTGTGTGGTTATGCTGACCCGTGGGCCATATCCCATGAGTTCTAGAGCTGTTTTGCTGTTCCTCCTGCACGGCCCCCAACAGCACTTATTCTTTAACTACAAACAGAAACCTTAACCTGCAAAATAATCTGCTCCTGTGTTGCTCTCACAAACCGCAGAGTATTTCTGAGCAACTGGAAAGAACTAGTGAGGAGGAGGAACAGTTGAGAGAGAGAGAGAGGTGAGAAGGTAATAGAAATTTAATATAATCATAGTACATCATATCAATGTATGAAATTATCTAAAACAAGTTTAAAATATGCATTTTAAAGTTTTTCCTCTGCTATTTTTATATTGCTATGCGTTCTTAATGTTTTGTTGACTGTTCTCTCAGCTACCCAAAATTTGCTGCTTTTTTACATTTCCAAAAATATCGAATGACTTCTGAACACTGAACATCACGTTGCTGACTATCTGAACTGAATTGTCTGTCCTTTAGGAATGTTGAGATCTAGAAGACACCTAAGCTCTTCCATACACTTGAGGTTATTTTGCATTTGAGCTACCTCTGCCTGAACACTAGCATATTAGTTTTGTAGCGTCCCTGCTGACTGCGGGGTTACTAAGCAATGCGTCCTCTCTGGTTGGATTACTCCCACAACTGCATGACCCCCAAGAATCATTCAACTTCTGCTAGCTGACATTTAATCTAGCACCCTGTAAAGGCCTGTAAAGACCAGCATTCGCTCAAAGATTAGGAGGGATTGTTGTGGGGGAGTCACCAGGGAAGACTGCTTGGACATGGGTTTAAGCCAATGGAAGGTCTTTATTAGCCAGCCGGCGACTACACTGGGTGTTCCGGAACCCAGCGTAGCACTGAGCCTTTCTTAGGGTGAGCTTTAAAGCATGAAAACCATGTTCTGGATTGACATACTTCAGTAAGCAAGAACGGCTAGCCAGAAGCCGAACTACAGAAGCTAAAGAGCAAGGTTAGTACATTTTGAGACTTTCCCAGAACTATATGGGCTTTGGTGAATTAGGCCTTTGTTTTAGTTTTGGCAGGTGGTGCTATGTGCTGACTTTTCCAGACTGAATGTTGCTTCCATCATGGAGTCAGTTGTGCTAAGGTCTCAGCGCCCTGCTACAGAATCACTACTGACATTTTTGTAATTCTTTCTGTGTCTATTTAAAACCAAGCACCTTTCAGAACAGAGAGCCTATACTCAATCTTTAGACCTTGCCGGCCACACACAACCTTTAAGGAGCTGGGTTGATGGAGAGGTATCATGCAAGTGTAAGGATCTGAGTTCGATCCCCAGGACCCATGTAAAACTTCTGTGGATGCCTACAACCCCAAAACTTCAGAGGCAGAGATGGGAGGACCTCTTGGGCTTGATGGCCAGCCAATCTAGCCAAATTGGTGAGCTCCAAGTTCAGTGAGAGACCCTGCCTCAAAGAAAAAAAAAAAAAATGGATAGTGATTGAAGAAGTCACCCAACATTGACCTCTGCCTGGTGCATGCCCGAGGGCATAGACACAACACATATACACCAAATACTAAAACACAGATAAATCAGCTGGGCCTGGTGGCACACACCGTTAATCCCAGGACTCATGAGGCAGAGGCAGGCAGATCTCTGAGTTCCAGGCCAGCCTGGACTACATAGCAAGTTCCAGGACAGCCAGAGCTAAACAGGGAAACTCTGTCTCAAAAAAGAAAAAAGAAGAAGAAG